GGGGGGGGGGGGGGGGGGGGGGGGGGGGGGGGGGGGGGGGGGGTTTGGAGGAGTGGGCGGGTGTGAGTAATTGGCTGGGAAGCGGTGGTGAGGAAGGAGCACTTGTGACCAGAGCCGGCCTTTGTTCTGTCTTTGTGCGGGCTTTGTCGTTTACGGGGCTGTTCAGGAATGTTCGGAGGGCGATTCACGAAGGATTCAAGAGGCCCAGGGACCAGTACCACTGCAGCTGACGTAGGGGGGAGGGGACGACAAGTCTTTGGTGGCAGGTCGCGGTGAATGTCGAAGTCAAAGTGCACAGGTGTGGCTGCAGAAATTGCCAAGACATGATTGGCTGCTCCCAGTGAGACAAGTCACAGCATGCCTGCCGACCTGCAAGAGCACGACGCTGCTGTGGGAACATTGAGGAGTGCTCTCCTGTGTCAGAAAAGCGAGGCCGCGAAACTGCGAACTGCTGTCGCTTGCACCCACCAAAGCTTTTCGGTTCATGCACGGTGCAGCGCTGCAACAGGCCAAATTAAGCACTGAGAGCCCTGATTCCTGGAGTTGGTCGCAATTTTGGAGCTTATGTAGATCGGCGGACTGTTTAATTTACGAGCACACCCGTGGCCCGTGTGCACGCCCAAGCCTCACGACCTTCACAGCGCAGGACAACCGCAACACCACAACACACTCACAGACCTGCTCGAGGACGACGTCTGCCGACCTCTCTCTCCATTGCGCGCGTTGCTAGCTCCCCCCCCGCTGCCTGCCGTCCCTCGTCCGTCATCGGTTGGCCTGTGTTTCAGCTTCCATCCAGGGTCCCTTCTGCAGCGTGCATCCCCCTCAGGCTCTTTTCTCGACTCGAGCCCCTCTGTCTGCCCTGGGCTTTCACCGCGACGCATGCCCCCCGACAGCGCGACCGAACACCCTCCCCACCACACGCCCGTGGCCGCCTCGTCCTGACAACAACAACAACGACACCACCACCACCACCATCACCGCCGCCGCTCCGGCGAGCTGCCAGCCGTCGCCAGCGCATCGACTCCGCCTCCTGCGGCCCTCATCTGCTCCCACCCCTCTGCTCGCCCCTGCTCGTCTCCGCTCGTCTCTACTCGTCTCTGCTCGTCTCTGCCCGCCTCTTCTCTCTGCCAGCTTGCTTGTCTCGTCGCCCCAGCTATATCCTACCATAATCCCGCTGTTGATCGTGTCTACCAGCTCCGCAGCCGCTCCCTGCCCGCACGCGCCCCCTTCCCCCGCGACGGCGGCACCTCGCTACGCCTTCGGCGGGTGGCAATTGTCTCCAAGGCTGGCATAATTAGATCATGGGCACTCCAGTGGAGGGGCCGCCTTCACTGGAAGGCCAGGGTGGTCCACGCCAGTACGTGGCATATGACCCGCGCGGCAACGGCCTTGCCCGACAACCTACCAACCCACTTGATACCCATAATGCCCATGCCCTGTCGCCCCAAAAACGTAGCGACGCTCTCGCGCGGTCGCCCACCGACCCGGAGCAGGACCAAGCAAGCCCTTTGTCGCAGGACAGACCAAAACCCCGCGGCGGAAAGTCTTGTGGTAAATGTGAGCAGAGCTTGACCGGGCAATTCGTCAGGGCGCTGGGCGATACCTATCATCTGGAGTGCTTCACTTGTCACGTTCGTATAGCCCCATCCCTCATGTGCTTCTTGGTGCCATTGCTGACCCTTGCTGACCCTTGCCTAGGACTGTGGCAAGATCGTTGCTTCCAAGTTCTTCCCGGTGCCCGAGAAGCCCCCAGGCCAGTATCCCCTATGCGAGACCGACTATTTTCGGCGCCTCGACCTGCTCTGCTACGAATGCGGCCAGGCCCTGAGAGGGTCCTATATCACGGCTCTTGAGCGAAAGTACCACATTGAGCATTTCACGTGCTCCGTCTGCCCCACTGTCTTTGGAGCGTCAGACAGCTACTACGAGCATGAGGGCAGCGTCTATTGTCACTTCCACTACTCGACCAAGTTCGCGCAGCGATGCAATGGCTGCCAGACGGCTATCCTGAAACAGTTCGTAGAGATCTACCGCAATGGCCAGAACCAGCATTGGCACCCAGAATGCTACATGATCCACAAATACTGGAATGTCCGGCTGCATTCTACTGGCCAGCCCATCATCGAAGCGCAACTTTCTGATAGCGAGGCAACCGACGCAGTACGTGAAACGGTGCGCAAGCGAGAGGAGGAAATCGAAGCAAAGGTCAATTGGATCTGGAAAACTTTGTCAACCTTTGAAGAGAAGTCGGCGACTTGCATCTCTGATATGCTCCTCCATGTCAGCAATGGCGCTTATTTCGATGGCGTCATGGCGGCTAAGAAGTTTATTGTCCATATTGAGCTCTTGTTTGGTGCCGCAGACGATCTCGATATGCAGCTCCTTGCCAACATACCCAAGGGTCTTACCTACTCCCGCGAGTCGAAGCTCCTCTGCAAGAAGGTCGTCGCTTTCTTTGCGCTCCTCACACAGTCTCAAGGAACGGGAGTTCGGCGCCTGGGTGTCACCCAAGAGCTTCTCTCGCTCGTGACTGGCCTTGCGCACTACATGAAACTTCTTATTCGAATTTGCCTGCAGGGTGCGCTCAAGTTGGAGCGGGAGACGCGTAGTGCGAGCGGACTTACCGGATTCCTCGCCCAAGTCAATTCTCTAGACAGTCGGCTTGAGAGTGAGGCCAGGGGGGATCAAACCGCCGAAATAGCGCTCTATGTTCCTCGTTGGGCAGACGCTTGTCCCATTTGCGATGCGCAGATTGAGGACAGATGTCTTCGAATGGACCACATGTCCTTCAACTACTCCTGCATGATTTGTCACAGTTGCGGTCAGGACTTGCGAAATCGCGTCAAAGACGTGCGCTTCAGTAGGTCTTTGAAGAAAGTCTTCTGCCCGACATGTGCTCGGAGCGTTGCAGACGCAGAAGGCGGATTCGAGCAGGTCACCAAGCTCCGGCAATATGTGCATCTTTTGAAAGTCGCCCACGCGCGCCTGTTAGCGACGTTGCGGTCTAGTGGCGCGCTACCTCATACATCCGGTAAGTCTCAATAGCTTCCATGGTAGTACCATAAATGCCATCCACCCGGTTTAAAATTACAACATTGGGCGTCATACTCCGCACACTCAACATTTGATTCTGCCGCTAACCATGTTTAGACGATCCAAACCTCACAGGCTACGACTCCTCGCAGGGACACCGTCTAGGAAACGCAGGGTCCGATCTTGAACCGCCTCTACTGCGATCTGACACTCGTTCTAAATCGTTCGGGGGTTCTTCTGCCGCTGACGCTCAAGCTTCTTCCACTGCAAACTATGAACAGACTATGACAGACATCAAGCGACTGCGGTCGACTCGTCTAGATAAACACCTATCTAGTACTATGAAGCGTGCACGCACTTCGAGGATCATTGATGGACCCGAGGCTATGGGCCCAGGCTCTGGCGATGGACAGCTTCGTGGCGGTATGCAGATTGTGCAAGAGCGTGAAGCCCCAGGCGACAATGACAGTTTGACACTGGGGGTCAACTCGCTGGCACTAGACGATATCGCTAGGATGGCTGCACTAGAGCAACAGCGTGAACAGCGACCAAATGCGTTTCGCGCCGGTGGAAGTGCTCTGCTTGGACAGGATCAAGCCAAGATGGTTAATGGTCACCGTCGCGATATCTCTGGAGGAAACGATCTCGAAAACATGGTCGAGAGTCGCCCTCGAACGTATTTCTCCGAGCTTTCACCCTTAGAATATTTCAAGATCAAAGGTCTTGCTGTCCTTCAGCTAGGCCTTCGCCTGGATGATACTCAATACAACCAGGGCGACCTGCTCGACCTAATCGAAACGAAACGCTCGACCTTCTGGGGCAAAATCGGGCTCGGAAAAGCATTTAAGAATGACAAGAGCAAGCCAAAGAAGGGGAACTCATCGATCGAGAAACCAACATCTGACAAAGCTACCTTTAGACAAACGCTTGAGTACCTAGTCGAGAAGTATGGAGCCGAGTCTACTGATGGCGTTGGACCAGGGACCTTGAAAGTTCCTGCGTTACTTCAAGACGCCATCACGGCCATGAGGAACATGGACATGTCAGTTGAGGGCGTCTTCCGAAAGAACGGCAATCTCCGCGCGCTTCGCGAATTGGAAGAAGAGGTTGATGCTAAAGGTGTCGAAATGGTGGATCTTAATCAGCAGCAGCCTGTTACGTTGGCCAACCTTCTGAAGCGGTTCTTACGGTTGATGCCAGATCCGGTGCTGACATTGAAGCTATATCGATTGTTCATGACAGCCAATGGTGAGTTCGTTCAGCTCTTTCAGAGGAATCTCTACTAAATTCTCTAGACATCGAAAAACTAGAGGATCGAAAGAAAGTATTGCACTTGATCTGCTGCCTGCTCCCGAAAGCGCATCGCGATACCATGGAGGTCCTCTTTTGTTTCTTGAATTGGGTGTCATCATTCCATACTGTCGATGAGGAAACGGGCAACAAAATGGACACATGGAATATTGCTACGGTCATGGCCCCTAATCTCCTCAGAGAGAGCAATGAGAAAGAGATGAAGACTGTCGATCAGGGAGCTGTCAAAGTCGTCTTTGAATTGATTGAGAACAATGAGGAGTTTTGCGAGGCGAGTTCTCCTTCCCCTTAGTAAGAATCTACTGATCCCAGTATAGGTGCCTGAAGAGATTGTGGATCTACTGAACCATGACAATGCGTCAGAGTTGACCACAAAAGAGATCATGCGGTTGTGGGAGCAACGTGGCAAAAACCCACAGCCGCCACCTTCTGGAACATCCCCTCGGAACCAGCCAGGGCCTCGGCCACGGGACGACAAGCGCAATGCTCCCCATATTACGCAGGCCGATAACAACCCTCAGCCCTGGCAGGGCGAATCGTCAGTTAGGCACATTGCGGGAACGGGCAATCACAATCACGGGCCACCGAGTACCCATAACACACCACCCCAAGGTCACGGCTATGACCTAGGGACTCCGAGTCTTCCCTACAGCCAAGCGGCACCAGGATCGACGGAGAGTCACCGTACTGGATCGCCTCATCGACACAGTTACCGGTCGCCTGCATTCCAAAAGCAAGGCCAGCTCGGTACCGCGGGTGCAGGCTGAAGCATCAATCATCCTTCTAACCTATATATTGGAGTTCTCAAGGAGTTGGTTTAATTCTTCATTGGTCGAAAACGCCACAAAACGATTCGTTTGGAGCGAAAATATTTCCGCGACACACATTACCCGGACCTCTGGTCCATGTTCAAGCATCTCTCCTGGCATTGGTTTCACGACTAACACTTGGCCTCGTTTTACGGAATGGTGGGATTCTTGAGTTGGTTGCAAATCGAATGACCCATACCTGGCATTTGGAAACGGCGTTCTCGGTAAGTTACACATGCACGTGCCTCATTGCCACTGCCCTTCTATGCACTATTATGCCTACCTGCCTGTCTGTTATGCCTTTTTTTTTTCTTCCCCTTATCGCGGCTGCCTGCTTGTCGTCGCGCTTTGGCACTGTTTATATGTACGGAGATGCGGATCGATTTGGTACTAGACGGCTTGTTGGATGGGCTTCGAGCAGTCGAGATGGATTTGGAGGTGTTGTTGGTTACTAGGATCGTGAAGTGAAGGGTTGGATACGGAAAATGGTGCGACACTTTGGTATCGAGCCGACGAACCTTTTCTCGAATCGACCGGACGAACATTACACCACAGCCATGACGCCTAGCTCATGCTTTGTTTTTAATGTATCTGATGGGGGTTGGTTTGGGTCGCAATTGCATGGCTGGTGTGATAGATACCTGGACGGAATGTTTGGGTGGAAATTGGGCGGCTGTTGCTGTACGGTGCTGTATTACAAGACGTGGATAATGTGGGGGGATTGGTGGCAATTGGAGGACTGGTCTTCTGACAGAGACGGGGTTCTTTCTATAATATTCTCGAGGCCCACAAGTGCCTCGTTCTCTTCTTCATCTGCTCTCTCCTCTTCTAATTGCTTGTGGTGCGTATTATGCGTCCCCTTCCTGCAACTCTCGACAGCATATTATTCCGGTCCGCGCCTTCGTCAGTCGACCGCCCCCCACTTATTTGCGCCTTCATCTGTCCCTCATCTCCCTCTCCCCTCTCACTTACATGCTTCACTCCGTTTTGACTGCCATCTTCGCCTTCTTCCACTGCTCACGAACAGTCAAGTCCAACATCGTGCTTCCTTCGCCCCTACGCCTTCGACGTCCCGTCATCGTGCCCTTCCCTCTCACACACCGCGTTCCTACCGTGTTCCGTCTCTCACAGACCCAATGTACTGAGCAATCCCGCATGTGCCAAATGGATCAAACCAGTAAACATTGTGACTAGTGTTGCTTCATGCCCCGCTTGCTTTTACACGACCTGTATGGCCTGCAAGGGCAAGCAGCATACCGGACTCCGCCCAAAAGATAAAGGCACTCAACCGCTCCTGGCAGTAGCCAAGGAGAAGCAGTGGCAGACCTGTTTCAAATGCAAAAACATGGCCGATCTCAACATCAGCTGTTTCCATATAGAGTATGTGCTATTGAATCTTGCCTCGTGACGAACAAATCATCTTATTTGCAAACACCGTTCTGGTATCAGCGGCAAGAAATAGAAGATTTGCAACTGCTCCTAAGAGGAAGAGGAAGATCCAGCGAGCGAGCAGGCAGATGATATTCCTCCCCAGTCTACTCCGGGCGCTCCCTGGGCTGCGTCTAACTCCCCTTATCCGGGAGCTTCATCTAATTCAGCTAATTGCTCAAATGCACGCAGCGACTTCTATTCAGTATGCTACCCCAACCCAGGCTGCCCATCCAATCTAGCATCTCACTACGCGTCCACTAATCCATGATCATCATCATATTGTACCTCATATTCAGAACGTCAGACTAACTGAGCTGCATAACTTCGTCCGTATGATGCGGAAACGTGGGTAAAATACAACCCTGCAGCTACTGCAATTAGGAGATGTATTTCGTGGACCACTGCGAGAAATGGAACTTGAACGAATACAAGCGTTGTCAGAAAGATATCGTGTCAGGAGAAATACAAGCTCCATGGCAGGGGCACCACTTCGTCGGCCGTCTGATACTCGAGCTTGGACATGATACGACTTGTAATTTTTGTCACTATGCAATGCACCTTGTGAATTCTTGTGCGGGTTGTGGTGCCAAGGTGTGGAACTGCTGCTGCTGCTTGAGAGATGGACTCGTGGTGTGATGGCTGGATGGTGGGAGGCTCCTGTTTTACATTCGGTTCGATAAGTATTGATCAGAGTTATCTTGGGTGGAAAATTTATTCTGCGTCGGATATGAAGTTGATGAAGACTCTTTCTCCTCTTGTGTTTCGAGTCGAGGAGCAAATATCCTATTAAGGTTGGAGATATGGAGAAACCCCGACGATATGGTACTGACGGTGCGTTACCTGAAGGATAGAGGTGCTTAGTTAATCGCTAGCACGTCTCAAGTTCAGCCTACAAAACCTTCTCCGACATGTCTTTCTGCCGCGCAATTCGCATACCATGAACGACTTCCACACATATCTCAACAGGCAATCACCTTTTACTATCCCCCATCCCACTTATCCTACTTCCTAACCGCCACAACAAACAACCTCGGATATCCAAGCAAAACCCGTCCATCCTCGAGTCTGGTATACACCTCCTCCAACCTCCTTTCATATTCTTTCAAAAACGCCTCCCTCACCCCTCGCCCCCTATCGCCACTATCACCGCTCTCTGGCATCCGATGCAAGAAAGGCTGCAACCCCGTCCCCTTAACCCACTCGACAATCTTTCCCGCATCATCTAGCACGTGAAGATACTCCGTCCGCCAGATGATTACAGATGATGCGTGAGGGACAAGGGTGTTGTAGATGGTAGATGGAGATTCTATGGGATCAAGATCAGGCCGGGTGTGGGAGGACAGGGATCCAATGTTTGCAGACTGGAAGTAAGGGGACCAAGGTTTCCCAGGCAGGAGCGCCGTGCTACGCATGAGCGCATGGGATGGCTGGGTGTAGTTATCTGGGACTTGGAATGCGAGAACCCCGCCTTTGGGGAGGGATTGCAGGAGGCGAGTTAGCGTCGGGAGACGCACGGAGGACCGCAGCCAGTGGAATACTGCATTGGAAAATAAGACATCGACACCCTTTCCCCCTTCCTCATCTCCCCCCGTAGGTGTGAAGTTCCCAACATCACCCTGCGTAAACTCAACGTCGGGTAAACTCAGCCGAGCCTTCTCTAGCATGTCCTGGCTACTATCCATCCCCGTCACCCGTGCGCCGGGAAATGCATCGATCAGTGCTTTGGTACTGTTGCCAGGCCCGCAGCCTAGATCGTAGATTCGGGGGTTAGGGGTGGTGATTAGGGGATGAATTTGAGAGATTAGGTCGTAAACCGGACGAGTGCGCTCAGTGTGAAATTTGAGGTATTGGGATGCGGACCAGTCTTGTTTTTTTGCCGAAGGCGTGGGTGCGGGGATGGACATTTTGGGGGAGACCGTTGTGTGGATAGGTCGTTCCTGAAGTTGGGGATGTTGATGTCGATGTTGGTGTCGATGTTGTCGACTGTACAAATGCAGATGCTGGATACTCGTAGTTTGGTGATAATTTTGGCAAAAGTCCGCCCTATTCCTCACAGTTCTTATCCTCGAAATTCGGGGGCAACCATGCAAGACTTCAGTTTCCTTCCTTGCAAATGATAATGTTCCGATATGACTCTTCCCACGGAATGCATCTGCTCCGAGCATTCCGAACATGGTAATTCCCCTTCGCGCGATTCTTTGAGCACTCAAGACTCTAAGCGCATGTGGCCACAGAAACATTCAATGAAATAATTCCTGCCGACTTCGTCCTGTTGCGATACGCGACGGGTTTGGGGAGTGGTAGACTTCGCTACAGTCTGTATTTGAGGCGAGTGGGCTGGATGCAGACGAAGGCGGGGAAATTTACTCCGAGCCCCACGTAACGTCACGACACGTGATGTGTGGGTTCGTAATATAACGAGTTCACAGGGCCCTATTTTGTCTCTATCTCCAGAAGTACTGCATCTTGTCCGCTAAGGTAGGGCGGGACAGCAAAAATTTTAGGCATGCTGTTCGCGATCTCTCTTGACGAAAGTTTGCATCTGTCAATATGCTCCCAGATTCTAGTAAGGGTCTTATCTTATTATTTCTACAGTAGTGATGCATTCTGTTATGTTGCAACATACTGTAGACGCCGTAAACAATCATCTACCCAATACAAAAAGTTATTGCACGGCCCTGTTTTGCCAAGGTGATATGTTTCTAAAGAGACATATTGACACTCTTTTTTGCAGGGAGAGAATATATTCTCATTTCCTGTCTGTCCGCATCGTTATTACAGCCGTGAGATAGATCTGAAATCTGCCTCCAGCGCCAGACATAGGAAAGCACCAATGATATTCTGTTTCCAATTCAAGCCTTAACCTCCCCGCCCTTATTTGACGTGATCTCCAGATGTGGAGTCGAGATGTCGCTATATTCCATCCGGAGCTTCGGATCCGTCGGGATATGAACTCTTCTGCTAATAACTTGGACGGTAAGGCTCTGGAGGCGGCCATGCGGGATGAGCATACCATTCCCCTATTTTATATTAGTTGAACCCTTCCCGCGACTTTCTACGGCAACCCGATGGATGAGAAACATACAGCATAAACCTTCCAAGTCAACTTGCTCTTCAAATACGGCACCACAATACCCTCATCTAAGCTCTCCAACTTCCTAGCTGCGATATCATCTAGCAACGTTGCTGTCAAGCTGATCGTACCTTTTAACCTCGGGTCTAGTGTGCTGTCCCGCTTGGCTGTGCTGCGATCCATGGTGTGATCTGAGGGCATTAAATGTGTCCAAGCGCCGATACTCGAAACAGGATCGGAAGAGAACATTCCGACAAGAGAGAAGCGGACGGTAAAGGTCGTCGGCATGTCTATGAGAGAGGCCTCGACATTGATGCTCCAGTCAGTGAAAGAACCGTCGGCGTTCAGATGCTTTAGATCACCACCTTCGGCCCCCATTTCGCTCAACCTCGCTCGGGAGCTAGAACTGTACAGCTGGGAGATGCTGGCGTTTACACTTGCACGGTAAGCGTCTTTTGAATCAAACATCCAGCTCATCGTCTCTGGGTACGCGTATCCAAGAACCGTGGTGTCTTTCACCGCATTGGAAGTCCAGAACGTAGTGGTTGTATTCCAAAATGGTAATAATGGAGTGTCTGCGTCTACGACGGTATTGTCGGCGATCGTATAGGTTCCACTGCTGAACACACTCCTAGGCTCCACATACTTGTCAGGATTAACACCTTGCCAGAGGGCGAAGAGACGGTCGACGTTACTATTGAATGATCAACACTACCCATAAGTAATATTACCTAACCATGCGCCTCAGCTGCGAGAGATACTATATCTCACAGCGGCGTGATAGTTTCGGGGAGTCATACCAATGATGGAGCATGAACAGCGGCTCGAACGCAGAGTATTCGAGGGGCCACATATGACCCTGCCACGGGTTATCTGGTGGGGTACCCCCAATTGCGTAATGCACATTTCCATGTACAAGTTCCAGATGGTGCATACTGAACGAGTTCATATCTTCCGCCACAGCAAATCCCTGACTGACTTGATCCTGGAAAGAACGACGCTGGTCGTTGAAGTTTTTGATGAACTTCCATTGCTGGGATGTGCAATCTGCATGATTAGAATCAGGCCAACGAACAGTGCTGTTGATGGAAGCCCACTTGACATGTGTTAGTAGCCGTAGCCTTAAGAGGGTGTACTACATACTTCTTCGGTGAAGTCGCCTGGAACAAGGGGATGGAATTCGTAATGGTGAAGAGGATTGGAGATAATTTGCTCTTGTCCATTGAATCCGATAACTTTGGCTGTTGGCGTGGTGAAAGCTTCAGGCACGGATCCCCCTTTGTCGCCGAGCGCCCAGTCCCAATATGGGATGCGAAACTCGTCAGCGGCGGATGTATACCGGCCGCGTAGAAAGGCGGGGAACTGAAGGGATACTCGTTGGATGTGTTTGTACAATTCTTGCTATCATCCAGTCAGTACAAGATATCATTCCGTAACATGGAACATGACCAGAGTGTCGTCTATCTAGTAAGTCTCTTGCTTTAATCATGTAAAACGTCTAGCCGAATGCGGCTATCTGTCCTAAATTACATTTGTCATGTTCCATAATATGTGAGATGAGACGGCAAAACCGGCCGCGTCATCTTATCACGGAATCTGACAGGGTAGTTCTGGACTGAAAGTGCATGCCCGCTAGAGTCTCCATTATTACGGCAAGCGATCTAACTTTTCAGACCTCCTCCGGTCACGCTGCGTAGTGAGCACAAGGACACTGTAATTTGAACATACCTCGTATAAAGCAAGATATGCGCGATGCCAGCTGAGGAACATGGTGTTCGAATGTGGGCAATACCCAGACTTCTTTCCTGGAATGCCTTCCGCCTTCTGCCAGGGAATGTATGGTCTGCCATGGATTCCTATGCCCCGTTAGCCTTCACCTTTGAGAGTAGTCCTTTCCTACTTACCTGTGATCTGGTAGAAGGAAACAGGATCGGTCTGGTCTGCCATTTGGAAGGAACGTAGGCCGAGGATGTAGACATTCCATTGATCGGGAAAGTTTTTCTGTAGGTCGCGGACCTCGCGTCGGATAGGAACGCGACCTGTCGATCTCGTCAGCCTTGGTTTCATTCAGTACTCTATACTAGCAGATATGACAGAACATGCTGGTATGAAAGAGGGTTTGTATCCTCTTGATATGCCCCTCATTCCAGCAAGAGCTCCAACGGGTTGACTCTTTCCTATCCAGATTCCGTACTGCCCACTAACATAGCATATGGGAATGCTCTGGAACGCTCTTACCGTCTAGTGTCCTCCGCCCTACACCCGTAACCAAGACAGCACCCGAATCTCCAGAATGGTGAGGATGGTCGCGTGAAATAGACGAGGCCGTAGCGAAGGACACAGTAAGAGCGAGGAGGAAGAGACGAGCAAGCCACATGACAGGCATTGGTATCGGCAGACACACCGGGAAGGTGGTAAAGGTTGGGGAGGAAGGAGCGAGCGTGGGTGGAGAGCGAATCAGAAGTGTGACTCGAGGGTTTTATGAACAAGGGTAGGAAATGAGATCAATGAGTGTAGTATAAGCGGGGGTGAAGATGAGAGGGCTTTCAGATATTCCCATGAGCGAGGAACACTGAAACGAGATCTACCCAGAGTAGTATGATGTCAGCGGCAGGAGAACACGAAAGAGAGGGAGCATGACGGCGGTGTTGGAGGCGTACCAATCATCATATATCTAGGAGTGGCGCCCGATCTGATTCATATCAAGCGAGCAGCGCGCGCGGTAAAGGCGGTGACTGTTCGAGTAGTGTTTGGAAGACAATTGATGATATCGGAGAGGAAGTCGCGGTTGACTAAAGAAAGCTACGTGTCACTGCCACGCCACACATTCACTGCTTCGTGTGTAGGCTCGATAATATACCGCTTTTCACCACGCGACGCGTTCCGTGCCTAGCCATATACTAGAAATCACTGGAGCGACGATTACAACCGGCAAGGGAAGGAATTGTCCCCTGGTAGTGAAAACGGGAGGAAGGGGCAAAATCGCGCATGTTGGCGCTGCGTTGCATAAATTTTTCGAGTGAAGAGAATGAAGGCTACACAACCGGCTACGCGGTCCTTCAGAATAATTCACCCAAAAGGGGCGGTTTGTGTGCGAGTGCGTTGCCGAAGGTTACATTCGACAGCATCACGACCGCGTGGGGAACGGTTATCCGCATGGTTTATCCGGGTCCATCGCGCGTAAGATGCAGAAAATGGGAAATGAAGCGGCTATAGTAGATGGGATGACTTAATATCGGCAGTGACAGAACGAGAGTAGGTTACCGTAAAATTGTGTGCCACGCAAGAAAAGCGGAAACGGGTATCGATGTGTTAGTATGGAAGGTGAGTGCGATATCAAGGTTACTTGATACTGTCTCGCTAGGCTGAATTCAAGGTCCTGTACGCCATCGAGATTAGACCAATCCCCCCGAGACGGCTATCGTCGTTGCATTCGTGAATCGTGTCATCGTGCCCCTCGTGAACTTCTATCTTAGAGTCCATCCACCCACTGTACCCCTCACCGCTCAGATGTCATTGTACCCAAGGAACGTTTTCTTCAGCCCCTTGTCAGCAACCGCCCATACCCAGGCCCTTCCCGCTTCGCCGCACCATAGCGCTGACGGATCATCTGACTTCTCTAACATGCCATCCTTACCCATGGATTTGATCTCATGCCCGGTCGTATAGGTAAGGAAGTGCTCGAATTGTTTGCCTTCGAGCGCAAGAGCGTTGCCAGAAATCCCGTGGCACAGACACGGTTCTTTCGTCAGCAATCCGCGCTCCCAGATGCATTCTCTTCCCTTTGCAACAACTCGATCAATGCGGTCCTTGAGGTTTGGAAAGTACTGCTCGATGGATATGAGGGAGGATACTACCCCAGGCGCGCCGTGGCAAAATTGGACCAGCCGGTCACGCCCAGGAGGAAGCGACGAAGGAAAGTTGCCGCTCTCGTACTGATAACTAAGTAGAGCCCCGAGTTCCGCCTCAAGTTTTGGAGCCCAAGTGGCATCGGTGAGAACAATCTGAGTGATGATACCGATTGCACCATGGACGGCGCCAACGTATGCTTTGCCGTGCCACTTCCATGGACGCGGGCTGTCTAGGATGTTCTCGATAACTTCATCGGTAGTATCCTCGATAAGCTCCAGCACTTCCTTGTTGTCGACAAACGCCCCGCGTACCAACCGAAGGAGGTACAAGTAACCGGCGCGTCCATAGAGCCATTCGTTGGAAGCTTCTGGCTCAATGGTGACGGCGGCAAAATCGCAGATCTCCTTCACCGTATCTGGGTCTTTGGCAGTCACAGCGTACAGGGCGAGTAGCGCCATGATATCGTCGGCGACACCACACTTGCTTGGAGACGGACCGGGATATTCTTTGATGTTGGCCTGGGCTTGTTCAATGTACGCTGCAGACCACGTGTTCATGGGGAACTCGTCGAGGGTCAAGTCGGGATACAGATTGTGAAGGGCGTAGAAGAGGTAAGCAATGGAAATAGGCCCATAGTACAAGCCACCACCTGGAGGTATCCGGTGTGGAGGGTAGTCGGTAATGAGGCGGTTGAGAGATGCCATGAGCTGCTTCTGAGGATCCCTTCGGGCAAGCTCCGCGTCGTTCCGAAAGTAGCGCGGTATTGGGGCTGGCGCTGCTGACGGTGCTGGCGCCGTAGTTTCTTCAGACATTTTGATAGTGGGGAGGTTGAGAGTTGGTTTAGAGTGCTATCAAGGAAGTTCGTGGGAGCACTCTGCCTGCTTGCAGCTAAATCACTCGACAGTGAGGCAGGAAAATGACGTCAGCAGCTACGCCGCAATTTTCCTAAGTAAAATCCGTTGAGACACTAGAACGGCTGAGGAAGTTTTTCAGTTGATGAGCGTAGGCGAGAGGTAAAAGGGATATTGTTGATGAGCTGATGAAAAGTGAGTGACGAAATATGCAAAAGAACAAAGTCTAGGCAAGATCCGCAAGGCTGGGTCACGTGAATGTGCTTACTCAGCCATGGCAGCCCTTGTTGATGCCCAATGAAGCATGGGAGGCCATGCTTCCGTTTAAGCAGTATTCATTATCATAATGGTATCTACTAGCTATACCTACATACTCGTGACCGTGACATGCGGAACTTCGAGGTCGCGTTCAATTTGTGTGCTCAGAGCACAGAAAGTCCTGGGGCTTATCTGGGGTCCTTGCGCTCCTCTGCATCGCTATTGCTGTCTCTCTTTATTCTCTTCCGGCTGGGTTGGACTTAATGTACCCCACACGGAAGCGGAAGTATCAGGTGCCCCATGCGGCTGTGATAGTCTCGATGATGGATCTCTCTTTCCCATGGAATTAAATTGCGCCCAGCTCATAACATGATCCTCAACATCAACGCCCGACCTCCGAGGACTCTTAAAATGGCCCGATTCATTTGCAGATAGATTAGGTGTAGCAAAGGGATTCTGCTGGGAGGCTGGAAGCTCCGCAATGCTGCCAATTGGATCGGCCCCCATCTCATTGGTCGGCCTAATCATCCTCCCATCAAGTTGCGGCACACATTCACGGTCAACATTCTCTAAGCCTGCCTTCTCTTTGGAATTCGTGATGCCGCGGATTACTGCGTCTGATATCTCATTGGAGGGTGCAATGCTACCTGTGCGACGTTCAATTTCAAGTCTTCGGGAGGTCGTGCTTAGCTCGTGCGACTCACCGTCATGAACCACGAACTCCGACATGTCCCCCTCTGCGTACGATGGGGGAAGCGTTGCTCTTTTGCGCTCCTTTGCTTGTCTCTTTCGCCTCAAAAAGAAGAATAGGAGAAGCGCTATCCCTAACACTACGGTTCCGCTTATTACTCCTCCAGCAATTGCGCCTACGGGTGTGCGACTCGTATCTTTTTGAGAAAGGTTAGGATTCGATGTGGGTGAATGGGAGAGTTGAGATGTTGACGACGGATCGTGGGTAACTGTGACGTATACTGTTTGACCCCCACTGACAGAAGCAATAGTCTGAATGTTGGAACCGGAGGATGATGCTTCTATCCGAATAGACGATGCTTCTGCAGTCGATTTAGGTGCGCTAGTTGTAAAGGCCGATGCCGGAAAAGATGAGAGTATATTTGAGGCGGTTCCTGGGAAATTTAGAGACTGTGTTACAAGGGATTGGACGTTGCTATGGTCCATTGGGAGTGAAAAGCGATGAGAGAAAGAAGAGCGGAGAGCAGCCATTGCTTTGCGGGATTGGTCTTCTATACATCCGCTAAGATGGTGGTTTCAATTCGAAATGTCAACACTGAAGATGTTGCGGAGATCTTTGAAACCATCCGGTCCATGCTACATGCAAAGCCATCGCAAAACTTGATGAGAGCGTAGATTACGACCATGTGAAACCATGGTCGTGAAGCACAAGAATACGTACCACTACTTGTTGTGGGGTGAGAGCCCGAAGAGCTTGGACAACCATCGCTCAAGGCACATGGATCCACCGCGCAGCACCCGCTGAAGCCATTAGACGCACACACGTACCACTGTTCTCCGGAAGAACAGCTTTGGCGATCTTCCAGAAGAACACGCATTGCCGCATCGCACTACCTTGGTTTCGCGGGCTGTGAGAAAAGAGAGCGCAAAAGATAGAACAACAACTGCAAAGCTAACAAAGAATGCGGCCAGCGTTGTTTTGAGTGTCCAAAGGCCAAGACAACATGGCCCCAACACCATGCGGCGTAGGTCATGAGTTGGCGGGAGGCGGTATGGTAGGAGACATTTTGCCTGCGCCTTGTACCTATGCCGGGCCTAAATCCTCCTTGATTCGTGAGATAAGACCTGTCAAGATCTTCGAACTGGAACATGGATTGGCGGGAGCTCACTTTGGGTGCACATACAGATGCTATTTGCCCGATGGTGTGGATAGAACGGAATTGGAGCGCGGAATGAGGGGGTGGCGAGGCGCAGAGGAGAGATTGTCACCAATCAGCGTTAGCCAGTTAATTATCCTCTCGTGACTAAGCTCAACCCTCTCTTTTGTTGCTTCGTTTCTCCCCTATCCTACGAACACTCCAGTTCAACTTGGAACATCTTTCCTACAGAGTTTTCGATTGAGATTATCATACAGGAACATATGCAGAAGGATGAAGTAAATACTACACCCGCTCACCCAGTCTCGAAAATGGATAAGAATAGAGTCGTTCAGTTGAACTTTGTTGCGGAAATCAGAGAGAGAGAGCACTCACAGGATGCAACTTTCTGCCCTAAATTACCAATTTCATGTTCAACACTAGGCCACAAGATGTGGTACAACCCTAACCAGTTGTATGCATCTTCATTCTCCGTTTCTCATTGCTTTTATTCTTCTTGGACCTTGTAAACCAATGTCTCCGCACTAACCGGCCTCATCTATTCCTCCATTCTTTTGATTTTCCGTTCCTCCATCTTCTCAGGCCCTAGCAGCCTGAATCCGTCTGCTACCACCCTCCCGAGCCCTCCGGGCATCAACCTGACCGGATTAGGCTTGAGTGCTGTTCTAACTCGCTCACTTAGCCACTTGTAAAATTGAACTGCGAAGTCTCTGGCGGCGGGTGACTTTTTCACCGTGAGCCCTTGGTACTGCACCTCTTCACCAAGATCTTCCCAAACGGCGCCATAGATCAGTTCGACAGGAAGACTCCCGGCTTCCCATGCCCCGCCCGCACGCCATCTCACTATGACTACCTTCCCGTTCGTTGCCAATGTCGATGAGACACATTCCGCCGAGCTGCCTTCTGATATGCGATCGTATGCGAAATGCATACCGCCTCCAGAAAGTTCTTGAATCTGCTTAGGCCAGTCTTTCTCACGATAGTCGACAAGGTAGATGTATCTATATGGAGCAGACCTAAGCATTTCCCATCTTGCCTTACTCGCTGCGCCAAAAAGCCTGACCTCCTTCCCGCTCATCTCTGCGCTAGTCCGGACCATCTGAGCGGCATAAAGCCCAACGAAAGTAGAGGCACCGTAAATGAAGAAGTTCAGTACCTCGGGCTCATCTTTTCTTTGCAACTGGTTCCGAACCCATCCAGGATGCTCCTCTAGTGCCTTTTCTATGTTGTACGCGAACGGGGCGTCCAAACCCAGGCGGAACCACATTCCCTGTGTGGCAGTCAATGCCACCAAACTTACTCCGGCAGCTTCCTCATATTCAACGTCGGCCGATAATTTCCACACCAAATCCCAATCAATGACTAGAAACTCAGCAAAGGCACCCGGCCGCTCATTGACGCTGCAAGCACCTTGCAAAAATCCAGCCACTCGATCTCCGATCTTTATTGTGCTTGAGGACGGGGCCGAGCAACCGAATTTGACTACAGCTCCCGCAAAATTGCTTCCAATAGTGCGTCCAGAGCTAGCGAGAGAATGGCTCACACAGAGCGGGTCGATGGGGTTGAGTGAAATCTAATAGACCTGAACCAAGATCTCATTAGGCGCTGGGTTGGGCTGAGGAATGTCCTGCAAGTTCACTGTTTTGATCTTCCGCGTTAAGAATGAGGACCCTCATTGTCGTGGATTTAGGGTGGTGAATTCTTGCAAAGGAAATTAAAACTGGGTGACTTTGGGGAGCGTCTGGGGTTTGCGAGTGAGTAAAAACCTTATTTCATCCTCTCGAGTCTCTTATACATTCGTTCGACTGCACTGGTATCACTAGCTACAGTGTATTGATTACAAAAATATGTTGTGGTGCGCTGACGTATCGTGATTGGGTTCTCCGAAACAACCCCGATTACTCAATACATCAGCCGATAGATCACTGACATAGGTATTCACTTGTTGATGCCGTACAGCAACTATAGCAGTCAACATGAGAATTATAAAATGAGAATGGAAATTAAATGCTACGCGCCAAGTACTCGAACGGGTTACTACTAGTCTAATAATGTTCGGATGCTCTATTGCGCCTTCAATTACCCTTGATTAACACCTGTTTCTCCTTCTTCAGACTCTGGGCAACATCAACCGGAATCTTCAGTATCGCGGCGACGATATCGGCTGGAGTAAGTGCTAGCCATTGTGTGAGCGGGATGTCTGCCACACGATCACTCTTGTAAATCTCAATCCATGTGAGGTTCTGCGTTTCGGACGTATTCTCGATGTAATGGCCTTGCGCAATTTTAGTTACTTCCGAGCAAGGAACGATTCTGAAGAACACTACATACCGCTATTATCGGGAAAGACTGCCGTGTCCCCCGCTGAGAAGTCAAAGGTGCGGGCGTTTCCATTACCGATGAAGACTGTAGCTCGACCTTTACCCTCGTGAAAGTAGAGCCATTCCTCAGCCTAAGAGAACGTTAGGCCGCCGTACATTTCCGTTATCGTTGGTGGTCCTAGCTTACAGTAGGATGCCAATGCAGCTCCCTGAGGCCTTTCGGCTCTAACACGACAAACGTGGACGCAATCGTCGTTGCGATGGGGAAGTTGGTGGAATCGATCTTGTAGAATAAGCCGCCACCGCCAGGAACTTTTTCAGGCGTATGTTGGAAGGTATGGTAAACGTATGAGCTATTTCCGGTAAGCTGACCGTTGGGTCCTGTCACGGTCCTGTTGCTGACGGTGCTGTTTTGGATGTAAGGGTTCTTCTCCGGGACGCTGCTGAAGACGGACTCTGGGAGCCCGAAGTTCTTCGCCAGCACGGATTTAGGAGTGTGCGCAACCCAGTCATCGAGATTAAATGTGGTACTGAAGTATTGTTAGTGAGCCGATAAAGATCACAATACGCCTCTGGGATGCTGAGGTACATACCCGACCTTGTCGAAATCACCATCATCAAATACGAGGAGGTATTCGTTCTCATTATCGAGGCCTTGAACCGTATGCGCCTGACCTTTAGGGAAATACCAGATATCACCATACTCGAGAGTATCAACCTGATACTTGCCATTTTCGTCCACGGCAGAGACAAGCACTCGGCCTGTATAGACGAATCCCCATTCCGCCTTCACCTAGTCAGCCAAATCCATCGGATATAATTACTACTTCTTGGTATCTAGCATGAAACATGGCAGGGCATTTTGGAACAGAATTTGCATCCCACTGACACTCTCCTGTATTCCTGCATAGGATATGACCAATGAACCTCACCCTGGTAATGTTCCACGTTGCGTGGTAACATGCTGTAAGAATTCAATTTAGACTTACTACTTTGTGCCAGTGTAGCTCTCGAATAGCACCCTTCTTTAGGTGCTGCTGGGCGGCGGCAATGTCATGACTTTGCGGCAAGTCCTGGACCACCTGCTCGCGTACCCACCCTCCGTTAAAAATCTTCGTCTTGGAGTCTGAGAATCTCCATTTCAGGTTTGGTACTGTACCGGCGTCGGTACCTTGCTGGCCAAGATTGTCCGGGTTCTCAATGTCGACTTGATGATTGGTTCCACCTGAACCTGGTCAGCGAAGGTCGGACAATGCAGCAAAACTCAGGAAGGTCAAGATCTCATTTCAGATTGCATGAAATCGAGAAACATGCCTAAAATTGGAGCGCCCTTTCCATTTGCATCGATTGGCTGTCCGTTTTTGAATTGAGCGTCTCTTTTGATGACGGCGCCAAGAGCGGTAAGGCTAAAAAGAAGGGTACTGTAAATGCCTGCTGACTTCATGGTGATGGAAAGAGAAAAGAATGGCTGACTTGGATCGAGGCAAATTTGTGGCTCTCCCGCATTCCTAGCCTTTTATATGCAGGAATGGGTGGTGATACTGCATCTATTTTACCCGCCCTGCTTGCAAATCTAAATATCGTTTAGGCTGACCCAATTCAGACGTCAGCCACTCATTTTAGAGTACATATTTTCGCCTGCGGAATATCGGCCGTAGAACTTAAATCAAGATGATGATAGTCGGCGACCAAACGTTCGCCATTCTCGTGGCGCATGTCGCGATGCTTGGCATTATGGTGTTGATATTGTCGATCGTCCCCGCAATCGGAATTTCGCACCCCAAGCTATGCTAAGCTTGTGGGTGATCTGCACCCAGGATTTAAGCTTAACAGAGGGCACGGGAGAACAAGATCTGATCGAGGTGCGTACTCTTTGCTAGCCGGGTATTGCAGCATCCTGTGGGATTTTGATTGGAAAGCCCGAGGGGCGGAGTAAGCATCTGCGCCAAGCTATGACAATGACCCTTGATCGTACGCCGTCTCTGAAAGCCTGCAACATGATTGTATATTTGTGCGGGATAGGGTTTGCGCACTGAATCTGTGCGGGACACTCCGAAGGCATGTTCCTCCCTACTCGTTCGAGGAACAGACGTTCTTTTGGGTGAATCTGAAAACTATGAACCTCTCCAGCTTTCTAGTATGAAAAGCAGTTCCCAAATGGATTACTTAACAGCTGATCTGCTAATCGGAGCTGAGGTTGTCACCTTGTTTGCTCCCACGCTACGAAGTCCTCATCGACTTGGCATATACCAAATTTGAACCCACGAACCCACAACCTTACGGGTAGTTTCAATGCCGATCCCACAATTCCACTCTCCAAGAACCACGGCCACGCCGAAATGCCAGTCAAAATCTACTCTTAATATCTTAGTGCCCATCCTAAACCCCAAAATGGAATACGCAGGATCGCTACCTGCCGTGATAGTGACACGAGACTCATTCACATCCGAATCTAGGCGAAGGCAAAGTGCATACCGGCCATCTCCACGAGGCTTGGTAGGGTGTATTGCCACTCTTTTGCTTGATTTGTGGTTTAACCTGCGTCGGGTTACCCATTTGCCGGATTTCGTGTTCTTGAAGTCGGCGGTATGATGAATGAACTTCATTCCCCTGTCGATCGATTCGGTGAACTCAACACTAGTTCAATATTTTCTGTCAATTCGCGGCTTGATGACACCATCCACGCCAGTTCTCCAAGAAATTAAGATGCTCAGAAAGTTGCTATGAGAAGGGAAAGTTGGAAATTGAGAAGAGACGAGGACGAAACGGACAGAGAGGAGAGCATGTATAAGTATGAGCGCCGTAGCCTGGTGATCTAACAACAACTTACTCATAATTTGCTCAAAGACTTTCGAATTCTCTCTAGCTTCTTTATCACCATGCATACGAAAGCTTTGGTGCCTGCGATTCTGGCCAGCATGGCTACTGCTCTGAGTCTCCCCCCTCTGATTCCGACTATTCCTGGGGTTACGGAGCCTCTCTCAAGCAATGCTCCACCGCTGCCAATCTTGCAAGTCCCAACACCTCCTTTGGAAAGTCCTCCTTTTGTTGGAAACCAGTCCATCAAGCCCAAGAAGATTGGATACTTCTGGACGGCGGCTGGCGACAATCAGCACAAGGATTTCCTTGCCACCTACAGCCTCGATGATGATACTTTTGGGACACTCCTCTGGGTCACTGATGTCCCTTCTAGTGGCAATAGTCCTCATCATCTTGGGCCCTCGTTGGATGGCAAAACTCTCGTTGGGGGTGGCCTCCTTTCCCTCTTGAAGACTCAGGTAAGATTCCATCATTGGTAGTCAGGATATTTGTACTTACAAGTAAGGATACTGCGTACTACTTCGATACCACCAACCCTTACCAGCCAAAATTCAAAAAGAGCAACCGAGCTCTTTTATCATCCATCACTGATGAGATCCGCGCTAAGCCTGACGGAGGCTTTTTCATCACCTACATGGGCTGTGAGTGCTACTTGTACAAGATTCTACTCCTATAGGCTGTTGACCTTTGCCACAGCCGCTGTAGGTTCGTCTCCCGGGCGCCTTGTCGAGACCGATGCCAACTTCAACATCATTCATGAGTGGCCTGAAGATGTGTCCTCCACCCTTAACATCCTTGGCGAACAATTCTCCCCCCATGGTCTATCTGTGGACTGGAACAAGAAGATAATCCTAACCTCCGACTTCGTCGTTCCAGTCACCATCCTCAAGCCAGCCTCTGCGCTCGGCATCCAGCGCGCTAATACCCTCCGTCTCTGGGAGCTCGATAGTCGCAAAATCATCTCTACTATCACGATCCCCAACGGCCAAGGCATTCAAGACGTCAAGTTCATCCCTGGCAACCCTGAATCAGCCGCTCTCGCTACCGCCGTCGGCCCCGGCCAAGTCTGGATCATCTATCCATTCCGCAAAAACGCCCAAGGCCAACAAGGCATCGCCGAGCTCCTCTACGACCTCGGTCCCAAAGCCCGCGACAACCTCGCCATCTATTCCGACATTACCGACGACGGAAAGTTCGCGTATTTCACCCTCACCCTCGGAAACCACGTCGCAGCCCTTGACATCTCCAACCTTAACGCGGTTAAGCGTCTCGACAATCCCGATCAGGACCAAGGCATCGTTGGTCCGCATTACGTTAAGGTCTCTCCCGACAAGAAGAACTTGCTGGTTACGGATTACTTTGTGCAAACGGGGGATATTGGGGTGGTGAATACACCGGCAGATTTCAAGGCCCAGTGGATTGATATCTTGCCGGATGGGAGCTTGCACTTCAACAGGAGCATTAACTTTCCTACAGAGTTTGCGAATCGTGGAGGTGCGAAGCCGCATTCGTCGGTTATCTTTGACCTGACGGACCCTAGCAATCCTAAGTACTACTAAAGGTATGTCCTTATCAGAAGTCTGCCATGAGTAGGCTGGAGCGTAGGCACTAGACGGGAAGGTGAGAAGGACAGGTAGCTCAGGTGTTATTGTCTGGACAATTTTCTTTTCCCTTCCCACGATTCCATAGATCTGGGATTAGTATGCCGATGTAGAGCATAGAATGGAGTCTCTGCCACTCGATTTCGATGTGAACCTTAAAACCTTGAAATGCAGACAATCACGTGATTGCCGACCAATCTTTTGACGGAAACCTCCCACCTGCCTGGGTACACCTGCACTTAATTTAATACAATTAAATATTTATGCATAATTGACTCTGTATAAACTTGAAGCGGAATGTAAACTCAACTTGTCAGTCTAGCCAGAACATTACGACGTTGGACGGCATATTACATCCACTGTTGGATCTGTCAGAGCCGCTGTTGCAGTTGGCAAGCTCCTCGGATTAGATACCACATGCATGCAACATGCAATTGGCTTGGCGGTAACACAAGTTGTGGGCATGCAGGAGTTCTTTGGCTCGGATACCAAGTCTTTTCATGTCGGACGCGTGGCACAAGGAGGTATGGTGGCATTGTTGGCTAAGGATGGGTATATAAGTTCCCTCCAGGGTCTTGAAGCAAAACATGGGTGGCTGCACGTCGTCAGTGCTCGTGAAACCGCTACCGCATATTTTGATCAACTGGGGAAGATATGGGAGATTGAGAAGAACACCTTCAAGCCATTTTCCTGCGGAATTTTCATGCATCCGACGATTGACGGGGCTATCCAACTCAGCAATGAGACACATGGAAAAGGCCTCTCCATTGATAACATCAAGAGCGTAGAGTTGCGCGTGGACCCGGAAGTCATGGTCCTGACAGGAAAAACCAATCCACAGACAGGCATGGAAGAGAAATTCAGTATATTCCATGCCGCGGCTGTTGGCCTGCTTTATGGAGATGCCACTCCATCCCGATTCACGGATGAGGTGGTGAGGAACAAGGGGGTGGTTGACATGCGGAAGAAGATCAATGTTACTGAGGACAATTCGGTGCCGACAGATGCTGCTTGTGTAACAGTGCAGTTCAATAATAGGACGGAAGTAGAAAAGCATATTGAACACGCGAAAGGAAGCATCGAAAACCCGCTTACGGATACCGAGCTGAAGAAGTTCATGGAGCAAGTTGCACTAGCAATTGGAGAGCCCAAGGCCGAAGATGCTTATCAGGCATTCACAAGCATAGAGAATATGGACGATGTTAGGAAGGTGAGAATGATGTACTGAGGGATATAGTGAGAATCTACTGTTAGAGTAAAATCACACCCACTTGTTCAACCTAGCCTATCATTCTTCGTCCTAGCCCTCATACGAAAGAAACCGTACTTCAAAGTCTAGATTTGGGAAGGGGGCACTTAAATATTCCCTCTATGGCCATTTGCCATGGAATAGGCTTCCAATGTTTTGTTAATATGCTGAATCTCAAGTTCGCAGGACCAATTTGAACATGGGTAACGCGAACATAGCTATAAAATACTATATACGGTTAATTACGCATCCTATTAACAATCTCCGTAATGCTAACAGGAACTTTAATAGATATAAACTACCTGAACCGTGTTCCACAGAGTTAGAAGGCGTAAGTGATCACCTTTGGACTCTTCCCAACCCCGATTCGACTACGCTACATACGCATGCACATGCACATACATTCTTAGACGACACAGTGATTTCTTGATTCCATGATATCATATGCAGCCTAACGAAGTAAATGGATACTAGGTTACGGGGGGGTCAAACGATTCCAGATCCACACTTTAAGTGGGCCTTACTTTGGCAAGATAGCTCTGATAACGAAGCCTGAGGTTAATCGTGTGCAGAAGAACCATGCCCTTCATTAATTGTTTCTCTCTTAATTCTGAGTGATTAATTAGTTAGTCCAATCTATTTGCTTTGGTCTTGCAGGTGCGCTTTGCTTAGTCCACCCCTTCAGATACAGATTTTTTATGGCTTAACCAAAACCCTCGGCCCCCCTATCTCATTCCACCAACTCTCTACATCCACAAGCCTCCTCTCTGTATATTCTGCTTTTAACCCATTCTTCACAATCGCCTCCAACATCATTGGCAATTCCTTTCCCAACTGCGGGAACGTCCAACTTCCTGGTCCACAACCAACCATCGCTACATTCGCCTGCCTCAACAACGAAGCACTAACTAGACTCGCATCCCCAGTGACAGCTCCAATCTCGACCCAAGTAAGCCGCTGACTCTTGTTCCCTCTGGTCGCGATTATACCAGACAAGGCTACCTTCGCAGTCTCCCCCCAAAGATAATCCAGCACGACATCTACGTCCGCTGCAGCCACAAAATCCGTCTCTTCTAGCTTCTCACTCAAAGCAATCAACTCCGTAGCACCTAACTCCTTCGCCATCCCTAGTTTCGCTCCTGGCCGCCCAATAGCCACAATTTCTGTCGCGCCCATAACCCTCGAGATTTGCACCGCAGCCTGCCCGCTTACACCCGTCGCACCAACAATCGCAACACTGAATTTCAAGCCTGGGGTGACGTCAGCGCGGGCAGTGAGCGCCATCCACGAGCTCATGGCGGGGTTCGCTAGCACAGCAATGATATCCGGGTCTGCGCCAGCTGCCAACGGTACGATATTCTTCTTCTCGACATTGATTTCTTCCGCAAACGACCCCGTAGGTGCAGTCAGGCAATTGAAGTAAACCAACTCGCCAGTCTCCATGACTGTACCTACGCCATCAACCCCAGGAATGTGAGGAGGCTTTTTGTGGGCGTTGGAGTAGTGCTTTCCTGCTGCTCGAGAGCGGACAAGGTTGTGAAAGCCTGCAGCGATGATTTTAATGCGGACTTGTGAGGATGTTGGTGGTTGGAGATCGATGATGGAGTATTTGGGAGGATGACCCCAGGTTGAGACACAGGCAGCATGCATTGTGGGTAAATTAAAAGATCACAGAGAATGGATGTGGTTGAAAGGCCTTGAGCCGGACGAATGCTTTCTCGAATGAAGTAAAGGTGGGTGTAACACCCACCCTATTAGTATTTAATACTCCTCAGTTCTAATAGCCCGAAAGCCGTGTGAGGCACGAATATGTACTTCCACATCAAGACTAACGCAGGATCTTCGGCCCCACGAAAAGGCGAGTTCGGTCGGTCGCGTTGCTACCTAGCACTGTTTGCCGCTGGGATGCGGGTGTCCGAGATTCTCGGTACCGAACTTCCATGATTGATTTAAGCACAATTAGAGGTTGTCGGGTCCGACGTTTGTCTGTAGGATGCAAGAATCCCAGATCCTAGGTTACGAATTTTCACGGTTGATTCAGCGATAGTTAGAGGTTAGTGGCTCCGATGTTATACCTACCAACCTTGGAAGGCCAGCGGATCACGTGCTTATAGATACTGCCTACCTACTTACGGCATGTTATCACATAATGTGGAACCTAACCAGATTGAAGTCCATATGTTAACTCTGTTATTGGAGAGAGTGAGAGAATCAATAGGATGCAAAATCCTGTCCTAAAATGCCCTTCCATGTTCCACATTAGGTGGCATTAGGTAGTACATAGGCAGGTTTCACAAATGTGTAGCTTAGCTACAACGGAGGAAGAAAAAAGGCCGCCTAGTTACGCTATATCAAATAGGCGCATCTCAGGACCCAGGAAATCCCGCTGCTACCCCTAATCTTCGCTCTTGCCGCTTGCCTTTCCACTATCTCCTCGTCCGTTCCCAAACCACTCAGCAACATCGTTAAACTCGCGATCCTCAATCCCTATCCAGGCCACTGCCCTTGTAGCTATAAGAATAAGCGCGATTCCACCACTATTAAACCCTTCCAACACTAATTAATTCTTCGTACCAGGAACGCATCCAACACGTGGCCACGCATCCCGTGTACGCGTGGTACTCTTAGGGGAAAACTAACCTCACTAAAGTCTATTTATGGTTTCGAACCTGAGCATATAAGGGTTTAAAACTAAGCAATGACTAAGTAACTTGAGCTTGTGGCTGTACAAGCCTGAGCAGGTCTTGGCAGCCTGAGTGTAAAGATGGGATAGTAGGTAGCACGGATAGCACTGAGAGCAAGGTTTCGGAGAAATAGGAGTGTATTGTAAGAGAGACGAATCGCTGCTACGCTTCGCTTGTCAGGATTCATGCTAATATACGAAGCACAGTTCATGTGACCTCCAAACAGGTCAGGTCAGGCCATACTGGCCTGTTCTGTGACATCCGGCCTTACACTGAGCATGCCTAAGCAAGCCATGTATTGGCCCGAATCTTGGATAACTAGTGTCTCAGATTCGAGCCACTCCCTGTTCCGTGTCTTGCATGAGCTGAGGAGGGGGCATATGGCAAACGACTCAACAAGGGAGCGAGATCCAAACAAGGTGGATTGAACAAGTGTATTGTAAGGTCTGAGGAGCTTGATAGAGCTCTGAGCTGACTATATACTGTACGAGATAGGAGCTATGCCTAATGAGTGAATAGTGCAGTACATGGGTATGATATCGCGTGAGACACGTGCGACACCGTGGCCTAGATTTAGTCCCGCTAAGCATAACAGTCTTAAAAAGGATGCTACTCTTAACCTACAAGGATCTTTAGCTACTAGTAGGGTCACCAACCTTTTAATCAACTGTGACGGCGACAGGGGAAGCTAGTTGAGGGACTAATCTAAGGAGGAGGGTAGAAGTTAAGAGACAATTGATTCTTCTGTACTAGCTATATAGCGTGCAAGAAAGCTCACGTAATAGCTCTATTAAATAATTATACAGTAGTTGGATAATCTATAGGTATAGTAATTTAAATATAAAAAAAAGACAATTTAACAAGGAGATCTATAACTCTTATATATCCCTTTGTTTCTTAGCTTAGTTACTGCTAAGCTTATGTTAACTCTTTTAGCTGCGTCTGTAGTTGCAACGCTAAGCTTACGTCTACTCTTTTAGCTGCGTCTGCTTGTTACATAAGTTGTAACATAAGCTGCCCTACGCATTATTATGTTTCTAATATGCTAGTCCTTTAGACATTTACATGCTTCTAGCAACATCTGCTTAGTTACTACAGCTATTACTTCTTAATTTATAACACTTACTCTCCTCTTTTAGATAGTTACTATCCTAATACCCTACTTCTAGCTGTGCCACACACTGTTAATAGCTTATAAGGTAAGTGTTACCTTAGTTATAAATGCTCTAGCCTTTTTTTAATTTATTATCTTTCTATAATTCTCATTTTTTTTATATAATATGCTAGTAATGTGTTGTTCTAGTTATTCTTAATAGGCTAACTATATTCTTTAGTTAGGTTATGTGATAGTAGAGCTATGCTTTACTTATAAAAAAGTAAGAAACTTCAGTGTGTCCAACCGTTAGTTACAGAGCCTTTTAGAGGTTGTATAGTACAGTTACAGAAGAGTCAGCTGTTACTAACTAACTGTACAGAGGAGATAACATTAGTGTACAGTTTAGATACAGTAACTAAAGTATTATAAAGTAATTGCGCTAAAGCTAAAGACTATACCTAATTAAGAAGTTATAATACCCCTTGTAAGATCTACAGTTATTAATCTTACTAGTAACAGCAATGTTATGTAACTAATTTCTCTATTATTAACGCTAATAGTTAATTCCTCTCTATTGTAATAGTCTTCTTAGCCTGTAAGAAGCACTGCTTGCACTTACATAAAGTTGCTAGAATTAATAGGAAATTAAGGGTAATATTAATCTTAAAGGCAATTCTAACATTATAGCAGGCATTATTTAGGTGCTCCTTAGCCTAGGTATCTTGCATATGCTTTAAAGGAGTTGCTTTACGCAAGGACAGCCTAGATAGGCTAGGTAAGGTTATGTAGGCCTTCTTTAAGTGTTAGGATAAGGCAGCATGATATATCTAGGTAGCAGAACAGCTAGATAAGGCATGTAAGGATAAAGCTTATAAGGATAAGGCCTACAAGGATAGAGCCTGTAAAGTAGTAACACGCTAAGATAACTGTGTTATTAATTAAGATAAAAATTAGGACATTATAATAGGCAAAAGAATAAGGTAGATAGCATAGTTGCTAAATTTGTTAGAAGATTGCTAATAAAACACGCACTAACAGTATTCTCCACATTAATCTCTAAACACAAGCCCTCTAGCCCTTAGCAACCTGCCTTTAACTGCCTAAAACTACTAAAAATCCTATATAACTACTGTAAACAGTTAGTACAGCAGCCTTATGTATAGTACAGTATACTAAGTAGATGCCCTGTACGTACATACGTGACCAAAATCGGTGTACTGCAGTACTGTACTATTAGGTGTACTAACGGTTGGACACACTGAGAAACTTATGTGTTTTATGTAAAGCCGCCAGTCCTTACAAAGGATGATAATGCACTGTAAGGCTAGAAGCGGCCTGTACAACGCTCCTTACGCGCGACAGGTATATATACTATTCTGTACGTAAATTAACTGTTGGTTGATTATTCGCACCTTTTAGTTGTGTTGGCGCAGGGGCACAGAGCTCTGTCCTTACACTTATTAAGTACAATTTTCTATGTATTTCATGTTAGCTAGCTTGGTCGTGGAATACGTTATAACTATTGTAAACAAAAGTTTAATAATTATATAGCTATATAAAAAGCTAATAAAGTAAAGTACATTATATTATAGTTTAGGTGCTTTACTATTGAGTATTTATTTACATCTATAATAGCAAAGGTAGCAAGGGCTATAGCAATAACAGCAGAGGCTACAGTAAAGACGGTAGGTGCTATAGTAAAGGCAGTAGGAGCCTTTGTAGCTTAAGGAAGGAAGATTTCTGTATCAGGAATGTGACACCTTCCTTCTATCCTTACCACCCTGCTTATAGATAAGCCACTTGATTTCGCCTTAGAGGAGGATCATATTCCGCTTGCTAGTTTGATAAGATGCGCGACGAAGGAAAACGAAGGAAAAATAACAAAAAATAACAAAAAAATAACAACGTTATGATACTGCTAAACCCACACAGCGAACGTGATTATTCCTTGATAGCTCGGATTGCGGAGATGCATGTGAGCCGGAAATCCACGGGTTAATACTCTGTCATATTTCTTCTCCGCGGGAACCGGAACTAACCACTGGGCCGCGTCGCCAAGTCGGTGAATCCCCGCTCTCGGTAGAAAAAGCAAATTAAAAGAATCGATAGTGGATGGCCCACGAAGATAAAGAATCGAGGTTTCCCTGTGGGTTGGCACTTCCATTTCGTCCTCTTAAGACCCATGATGCTTGTCAGCGGATCACTTCTTGTGCTACTCGGTGGCATAGCTTCTCCATCTATTGCGGAGACAGTTCATGGCGTCCTCGTCTTTACCCGCCATGGCGATCGTGCGTTAAATCCTTAACTCGCTAAGACGAGATTTAGGTAACTGGTGGATAGGTACTTCTAAGCACTATAGCGGATATGGCTTGACGAGTCTTGGATTTGAGCAGAATTTCCAGGTTGGAAGTAGCTACCGTAGTCGCTATCTCTCGTCGGCCTCTCCTCGGCGGATCTTCAACATCTCAGAGGACAAATATGTCCCTTCTCAGATATACGCCTCTGCACCAGATCAATCGGTCCTTATTAACACTGCAACGGCATTCCTTCAAGGATTCTACCCGCCCTTGGGGGGCGTCAGTCCGAAGCTGGCCACCCAAACGCTCAACAATGGGACGGCGACTCAGAATCCTCTCAATGGATATCAATACGTCTTCCTGCACGGAGCCGATGCCAACTCTCCGGACACTATCTGGCTCAAGGGTGACGATGCCTGTCCAGCCCTGACGAACGCATCCGAAAGCTTTGAGAACAGCACCGAATTCCAGGCCAAGCTGGAGTCGACCAAGGCCTTCTACGCTGGATTCTGGGACTTCCTCAAAGGTGTTTACGATTACACGCCCCAGAAAATGACCTATGCAAAGGCCTTTGATATCTTTGATTTAATCAATGTCGCGAATATCCACAACAGTTCCATTCCAAGAAACATCACTTCCGAAGAGTTGTTCCAACTTCGCACACTCGCTGACAGCGCCGAGTTCGCATACAACTTCAACGCTAGCCAACCTGCCCGATCAATAGGTGGCAAGACCCTGACCGGTGCCATCCTTAACCAACTAAACCAAACCGTCACAACCAAGGGTAAACTCAAATTCTCGCTATTAGCCGGCAGCTACGATAGCTTCCTCGCCTTTTTTGGACTCTCAAATCTGATCTCGGCCAGCACCAACTTCTACGGCCTGCCGGACTACGCCTCTACTATGGCATTCGAGCTCTTCACGCCTGAGAATACCACGGCCTTCCCCTCGGACGTTAACGCACTCAGTGTGCGATTCCTCTTCCACAATGGCTCCGCTGGCTCACTCGATACCTTTCCGCTGTTCGGGCGCTCGGAGAACACAACTCCTTGGCCGGAGTTTGTCACACAGATGAAGAGTCGAGCGATTACGAATGCCGAGCAATGGTGCCAGACATGCAATAGCCCCGATGACTTTTGTGCACTGTATAGGACAGTGCCAACGTCAGTAGCGGAGAAGAGCAAAGGTGGTATGTCGAATGCGATGGCTGGTGTGATTGGTGCAATGGTGATGCTTGGTGTCGTCGCGATTTGTGGTATACTTGCATTTGTGCTATTCTGGCGACGAAAGAAGGAAGCCGCTGTGACGACTGAGGAGAAGGCCAGTGTAGCTAGTGGAAGCGTAAGTGTTTGAGCATGCTAGGGTAGTCTCAAGGATTCTAGGGCTCTCTGTTCTGGTGACACGGCAGTGGGAATTGTTTTTGTTGATGTTACATGATCAGATGCTAGTCGCGAGCAGTATCAAAGACTAAGAATAGAGAATGTAATTTCCTAATCCCATTGCTTCAATTTCGAGCTCAGAACTTCCACCTAACTTTTCCGCGTCCTTTTTGCATCTGCCAGCACAGGCGCAGAACCTTTAGCACTTCAGACCACGCTTTCCTTTCCGCTTGTGCCTCAACAATGTCGCTATAGCTCACTATGTAGAATGATAGTAATATTCGTCGTGCCCACACGCTTTGAGCTGCTTAAAGTTAAAGTACCCTTCATGTGTTATCTCAGCACGCAGGGAGGGTCGTTATACTCGATTCCAGTCTAACTTTAATAACCGCTAGATACATCTCAAAGTAAGCTCTGCCTAATTAAGCTTTATCCTCTCTGGCTATATAACCTAAGCAAATCCCAGCATAAGATCACCCCTTTAATAATACCGCGACGTGTATTCGCAAATGTGTTCAACGGAAAGGAGTACGATCTGCATTGGTTGATTGTATTTGGCTTGCTCGTGTATGGCACATTGCATCTGATTGTTTGGAGGGAAGGGGTGCATGAGACAATGCGGGCAAGATCGATATCAGAGAAGTTTCCGTCGACAAGGTCCAAATGTTTCAAAACAGGTGAAATGGGTCCAGCATCTGGAAAATCCCTCGCTCCTTGATTGGCTCCACGGGCATTGCATCTGAGGTAGCTTAACCTGGGTAAAATAAGAAGAGCAGCAATCCTATCAATATCTAGGTAGGGAATCTCAATTGCCTCCAATCGATCCCTGAATGCCACCTTGGGTGAGGTGAGGAGAGCGAACAGTTCCTCTGGCTTGAACTCGTAAGAGTGACAGTGTATTTTGATGACTTTGAGATTAATGAAGCGGCGGAGATATTTATACTTGAAGCTGCACCAAACTTCGAGTGAATGAACTTTGAGATTACGCTGCGGGGTCCTTTCCATGGATTTCTGGAACAAAGCGAACATTTTTGGAAGCCTCAAGTAGACGTGTCTAGGTATGAGGTTTCCTGCGACACCGTAAAAGGCGCAGCAACTGAGTGCGAGATGCAAGAGCGTAGTGGATTCACCTTCCAGAGCTGAAATGATTAAACAAATGAGATCAATAGGTAGATCAAGAAGCTGCATAGTGGAGAACGGAAAGTTGATGGAATTGCGGGTGGGTACATTGATCTGATGAGGGGTTGTACCGAAGAAATTTCGAAAGAAAGCTTCACGTGTTCTCTCATGAAAATCCCGAGCTGGTGGTTCGGGAGGGGTGACCGCCACTATGGTCCATGCTACCTACTCGAATCTGTTTCCCAACCATCAACCAAAAGCTCGACACGACATCCTAAACGATGACATCAATGCTAAAACTATGGCGAGCAACCCCAATGCCATACCTAAGGTGGGCGATGACCAGAGCGATTTCGCACCCACCTTTTCCAGTGATAGTAAGGCAGCCCCCGTAGATATATTCTCGTCTTGCAGGATTCCAGGCTTAGCCAAGTCCAAGAACTCTTTCTTGGATGTCGGAGACCGTCTGGGTGGATGTCCAATCCCTTCCTGCCCCCCCTCGTCACGCTTCTCACCCACCTGGAAAGTGTCGATTGTGGGTACTTCAGGACTTGGTGAGGGTGACGACTTTATCTTTGTGGCAGCTTCGAACAGGAATTTCTCGACTTCTTCATTTTCCCAGCTCTTCGCAACTTGAAGGGGCGTCATTCCGTTTGCATTCTTTAGCTGGATGGGGGCACCTGCTCCCACAAGTCTTTTACATGCTTGTAGATTGCCGAACGCAGCAGCCCAGCCAAGAGCTTTGTGCAGCTGACCGCTTGTGCTGCTGATTTGCGTTTGTGGCTGAGAAAGGAGAAAGATGGCAGCTTTTGAGCCTCCATTCTGGAGAGCGATTTCCCAAGGAGGTCGATCATCGAATTTGGTTACATTGACGTCAGCACCATATTTGACAAGGGCTTGAACGATATTGGGTTCTCCTTTTTGGCAAGCGATGGTCAATGGGGTCCGGTAGAAAGCATCCATAGGGTCGACAAAGGCACCAGCTTCAAGAAGCATATTTACGATTTCGACTCCTCTTCGTTGACAAGCCATGTGGAGCGGCGTGTCCTTCGTATCGGGGCTGTAAGCATTCAATTCATCCGGATCGGTTCGACTAATCCGGACTCGTAGAGTTTCAATGTCTTCCTGCTCAACGGCGTTAGAGAGTGGAACTTCAGACTTGGAAGCGAACGTGTCTGCTTTGCAGAGAGAATGAACTTCGTGTTGTTTGTCCAGCTCCCTCTCCCTCTCACGTGCTACACGGAGGATCTCAAGGACATCGGTATGGCCAGCATCCTTAGCTGCGCGAACTGGAGTCCGACCTCCCTTGTTGAGGACGTCGGTGCGAGCGCCGAATTCTAGTAAGACCTTGGTTGTCTCGAGGTATCCACAACGAGCTGCATCATGGAGCGCAGTTTCTCCGCTATCTCCCTGTGCGTCTATGTCAATATCTTTACAAGTCTCAAGGAGCAGTCGGAGGATTTGAGTGCAGTCATTGATAGCCGCAGCATGGAACACGGTCCTTCCTAAGACGTCCCGAAAATTCCACTCGACTGGGTGATCGAGCAGCAACTTCACTGTGGCAAATTGGTCGTAGTCGATTGCACGTTGGATTGGCCGCCCTCCTTGATCATCTTGAATTTCGGTATCGACTCCTCCATTGAGGAGTGCCTTCACGCTCCCGACGTTTCCGGACAACGCAGCATAGTGGATTGCCGTGTAACCTGCGATATCCTGATAGTTTTTGTCTACTTTTGGGTGCTGAAGCAGGGCTTCGACACTTCCCTGATGGTCCATATCGGCGGCTAGGAGCAGAGGATTCCACCTCGCGGTAGGCGAGGCTAGGTTAGGGTCGATGTCGGCCCTGGAGAGGAGGATTTTTACCAAGTCGACATCATCGTAATAGCAAGCAATGATCAGGGGTGTCCAGTTCGACCATGAGGTATACCAAGCATTGATTGCGACATCTTTTTCTTGGACGAGCCTGCGTGTCAATTCGATATACCGCCCTTTGACACTGCGATGCAGCGCTGTGGATCCTCGATCATCAACAATATTCGCTGATGCGCCGGCTTCAAGTAAGGTGTTTGCAACATCGAGGTAGCCTTTGAAGCAAACATATGTGAGAGAGGGTGTACCTAGAGAATCGCGCGCATTCACGTCCGCACCCTCATCCAATAAGCCCGATACAATCTTGTTAAGGCCAAAAAAAGACGCTAGGTGAAGAGCATCAACACCTCCAGAGACATCCCAGCTGTCATAGGAAGCTATATCGGTGTACCAAAGAGCCTGAACGGAGGCTTCCAAGAGCATCCTGTTTCGGAGGAACATCAATGCCTGAGGTGTGACGAGATCCGATTTGCAACGCTGTGCATGCACGCCCCAATAGAGGGATGCATATCCAAAGAATGGGTACACTTTCAGACGGGCATCGAATTCGTCCGCTTCGTTCGGCCCAGAACAAGGTCCTGATTCGAATGCAGTCAACTGGAGGTAGGCCAGGCAGCATTCTGCAATTTCGATATCACCGTCGGGGAAAAGGTCAGATCGCTTTTCCAAGAAATAGCTCTCAGCTGTTTTGTGCGTTAAGCGAACGTTCTCGTTTTCGTCAATAATGACTAGCCCAGCACTCATAGAGGTGAGAACCTTTGCACTCAGAACGTGCTCGGTCCGAATCTCATGGACACCACGAGACACTGCAGTGGCATGCTCTAGCTCCTGAATGGTCAGTGGCCTCTCAGCATATGAAATCCACAGCAGAAGCCGCTTCACAGCTCGTTGGCGGTTGGCACTAAGTTTGCCGATTCTAGCCATAGCTTGGTCGTATGTCGCATTGATCCCCTGGGGTAGATGGTGAAGGGCGTTCAAGATTTCGCCAACTGTGAGACAGTCGGCCAGAACATCCATATGAAATCTGGCGAGTAGGAACCTTTCTCAAGAGTTAGGGAGCAGTAAATACGGCACACTATCACCCAACGTGGAACATAATTGGGTAGAGTTTATCTGTTTAAACCCTTGCCAGAATAAGATAGAAGGGCAATAAGATGCAAACTTCTATCGTAAATTACGAAGGTCGCGTGTTCCACATCAGGTAATAAAATGCAGCAGACAGTGGATATTGGACTCACATGTCTTGAGCATTATCGACAATCATGTCGAGAATCTGAGCCTGTAAGTTGGGTCGCTTATCCACCATAACTCGAAGTTCGTCTTCTACTTCGATTCGCCGATTAACATAGCTCTCGATATCTTCCGGCCGAGCAGCGATGCGCAGTTTGATGCTACTGAAACGCTTGATAAAGGCATGGCCACCCCTTTCCCCTTCTTTCCGACAGTCTTCGCAGTGATCGAAATCCACGCAGTCTTCGCAATGATAATAAAACTCAAGGTGCTTCTTTTTGCAGCCATCGCAGTAAATTCCGTCTAGAGGGTAACCGAAACGATTCGCTATGCTCTCGAGTTTTCTTGAAGTGACCATGATCTTCGGTCGTCCCTTCAAGCCATGCAGAATCTCGAGAAGGGACATTCGTTTTTTGTCATCATCGAGTTCGTCCAAGGCATCTAAAACGATATAGGTTTTCTTGCCCTGAGAAAGTACATTTCCAATGATATCGCATATCTCCGTTAACTTTGGTCGCGTTTCACTAGCATAGTGCTTATGATATAGGTTCTCTAGGTTATCCGGGAGTGTCATACGTATCTGGACGATTTGCTTCAGCAAACTCGCAACAAGGTGGTCGATTGATTGCGAATCGGCGGAATCGAAGCTGCAAAATGCGACCAGAACAAGAGCATCGTCCGATGTGTGAAGTCTCCGAAGCTCATTCACCGCGTTTGATGCTAGAAACGTTTTCCCTGCCCCTGGGATCCCATAGCACCAAAGCCAACGGTCGTCTCCAGATTCCCAGGATTTGAATTCCTCACTTGTGAAGAACCATCCTCCAGTTCCAGGAGTGGCGGTGATATTCTCCTGCTTCTGCCTGAAATTGCATGGCGAAAGCCAGTCGATAATTTCCTTAAACTGGCCATCGTTCACCGTCTTTTTAACTGCAGAAACCTCTTCGCGCATTTCTTGAGCAAGAGCGATATTGGCTTGTCCTTCTACCATAATGATGGACGTCTTAAGGTGTTCGATGCGCCCAATGGTTCGCGCGACGTAATCATTGTCAAGGGGCCATCTCAGGGTTTGCTTAACTTTTCCAAATTTGCTCTCACTCGTCGTCAATTTTTCCCATACCTCATCCAAGGCTGAACGAATCTGCGTAAATACGCCATTAGGCTCGGCGAGAGAATCGATGGGCTTCATCCAAGCTCCATTTTGTTCGGCTGACAAGAGTGCGAACTGAGTCTCCAGATTGCGGAGGGTCATCCATAACAGCGTGATCTCATCGCACAGTTTTCGGCGCTCTCTGCCTCCTTCTTTGATAGTGTCGAGGAGATTGATGATCTTGAATGACGCGTCGGCAAGCTGAGCGACGCTTGAGATGAGCCCTAAGGCCGAGACCGGATCCATAGGAATAGTGGCACAACATGTGCCCAAGAGTGGACGTTAGAGCTCAGTAGACAGAGGTGTAGGGTGGAGGGCATGATGGTGATGATGCAAAGCGCAGGATTCGGGGATGAAGCGTCGTGGGGGCCAAGTTTAGCGTCACCTGGTGAGGCGGCACATTGGCTGCCTCATCAAGGATCTCCACCCACAACTTGATGAAGGGGGAGGAGATGTTTAGGACAGAAATCTGTATCCTGCTAAAGTTCTCCCTAATTCAAATGAGAGGTTCAACAAGTAAACGCTAGCCTAATTTTATTCTACGTTACGCGATAATATGCTGTCGTTTTCGAATATCTCGCGCACGGACCAATTATTCATCCCGGCCGAAACTATCGTTAGGGTTCCCAAGTTTCAGATCTTCTCAGTACCCACGCTCCAGCTCCTCTCCTAAATGCGATGGATCGAAGAGGGAGTGCTTTGAAATTTTCCAAGCATGACGCTTTATCAGCCAGCCCCAGCGGAATGCATTAGTTGACCTTTCCTTCTCTGGGACTGCTTGCTCCCAGACTGTACCTACAATGCCTGGTCCCTAAACTCGTCTGAACAGTAAAGACATCTCCCGCCGTAGGGGTGCCAAAACCTCATTCTTGACAGTTCCACGGAAGTCCTCGCTCCTAAGGCGTGATGTCGGGTCTACATATGATTTCAGGCAGTGTGATATGGCAGATTCGAATCCTAAAGTTAGGTTGCCACTATTCTTTTGTTCTAGGAGCCACCTACGGGCCACTTGTAGGTCCGTCACCTCGTTCGCATACCCATTAGGTCCTAGGTCCTCTCGAAGCCGCATACTCTCAATCGACCGGCCGGATGTTATTTCAACAAGCAACACCCCTAGCCCAAGTAGCTTTGAGCAGTCGTTCATGGAGTGTGCATCTCTTTCCGTCCATTCTTGGTCGCCCCATCTGTGTTCTTTTTTCAAGTAAGGGTGTCTGATGCTCACAGAGAGCCCCGAGGCGTCCACCGTCCGGAGGAAAACGATATCTGTCTTGCTCCAGTTCCGGCAAAGCCACGGGGTCTGGCTGAGCTGTAGAAGTGAAGAGCTGAGAGTGACAGAAAGGTTATATTGGTCCAATTTGCTGATGATATGCTGTTCTTGGAAGAGATCTTGAAGTGTCACTTCATTCTGGGTGTGAACAGGCGATCGGGACTCTGTCGGGTATGCCCCTCGCAAATATCCATCGCTATCCAAGCAAAACCCGATCCATGGATGACTTGGGGCTTGGATAGTAGCGCAAATATCTGTTACTACCTGGAGGCGGGACAGATCTTCATACGGGGATTGAGTAATCGAAAGAGAGGGAGCTGGTGAAGGAGCAATGATTTTAACGACTGGTCTAACAGACTTTAGCTCCACGCGAACTAATCAACGGGGACGCGTTTTTCCCACCCGCTTTTTCGAGTAGCAGACGACGCCTCAGCTAGTCTGAACTCGACATCAAGCCACTTTCGCGAGGCCTCTCTCCGAAACAAGGATATGTTGAAGCACTTGGCATCTTCCCTTCCGGAAAGCTGGACCCGTCCTCCCACTCCATGATTCTCGTTCTCGACTAGGCGTCGTTCAAGCAAGAGTCCGGCGCGATGGGAATCGTGACTTGCACACCATGTTCGACACAGAATGTTGTATAATTTGGTGGCGTTGTTTTCAATAACGCCAAGCGGAGCAGCAAACTTCAGTCTTGTCTCAGTCCTATAGGGTTCCTTAAGCTTCTCCGCCTTGTTAGCGAAGCTATCCAACCGCAGATTGCAGCTCTTCAATTCTTCAAGCAATCTCCGAACCTTTTTCCGGGACATGGTGAAATTCACCCGTCTTTTGAAGTGGAAGGTATATCCGTTCTCTTGACTTGACAGTGGGTTCGCGAGGACGATCGCTTCTAGTCCCTGTTGGCTAATCTGGATGAGAGTAAGCTCAGTAGCCATGGTGTCCGCGACGAGTGACCTAGAATCACCAACCTCGTCCGAACCTTGTATGTCCAATTTCTCCGCCAAAGACTTGACAATCTCTTCGATTGTCGAAACTGTCTGCATGTAGGCTTGATACGCATCCCCGAGCCTATCGCTCAGTGCATCTGACATACTCTTGCTTTTCCACAACTGGTTTTTCGAGTCTTCGAGCATGGTCTGACGCTCTTCGTCTGTGGTTATCGGACTGAGAAGGAGCTTGATAGATTGAACGTATGAGGTGTGTTGGTACCTATTGTGGATGACACTTTCAATCAGCTTCCACTGCGTTTTGTGATGAAGACCTTTTGGGAAAGGGTCTCACCAGAGGGCTTGTATCAACACAGATAGCTCACGATTCCATTTGAAGAAGGCCATAGCCGAGTCTAAGCCATCCTCATACTGCTTCAAAGCAGCGATGACGAGGGGAATAGCACCCAGAACAAGCCCAGCAATCTCCACTCCTGACATACCTTATACAGTGATAATCGAACTTTAGCCTTTAAGGACATGAAGTGTCGTCGAACATCAATACTGGCCGTCGAAGGCCACGAAGAGGCTAAATTCCAGCCTTGTAAAAGGTGCGGGGCAACCCGGACATTCACCAGTCGTCTGAGATCGCGGCAATTGTGCAACTTATACATTGAGGATGACAGTCCGCTACCCTCATCTCACTGCCACCTTAGCATCAGAATTTACCACGGCTCGCCATGTCTGATATCGCACGACTAACTCGGTCATGCTTTCGCTTATTGCAAGAATTGTCCTCAACACTACCAGACGCTAAGGCTGACTATCAAGTCGCGATGTCTCCTGCGGCCGTCCAGAACGAACTTGAACGATTTAAGCTCTGGTCTGGGAATCTTGGGGCGATGGAGAGCAATCGCAGCTCACTATATTTTCGCTTGCGGGATTCGACTGTGATGCAGACAAACGTGACGAATTTGCTACGCAAGCTAGAAAAAATCATTAGAGACTGTGAGACTGCCATTCATGTTCGCAGCCTGATCTCAAGGTCAACCACCCAAAAACAACCGGAGGTTTAGAGGTGTGAGGACGCCCGTCGACGTACCGCTAACATTAGCATTAGGTTTGGAAATCATCAAAGGTGACCGGCTTCCATTAGACGAAATGCCAAAGCCAGAGTATGTTAGTAGTCCAGACACCTCCGACGATGACTCCGATTACGAACCAGTGGACTACGGACGCGTCACTACCGAGCTAGGGATGAACATGCTCAACATCGTGGATATATTGTCCGATCTATTCAAGCTCTCATTTAAGATTCGAAACAGTACAACGGCAACGGAATCGCTTAAGCCGTTTACCTTCCAGGACATCAATGAGGAGACGCAGAAGGACAGGCTCGCCATATACGAGGAATACGACCGTCGGCACGTCCAAGAATATATCGAGCAGGCGCAAAAAGGTCGCGAGGAGTTTTCGGATCGGGACCAACTGATGATCTTGGTAGGCCGCTTCGCTGCTACCGTCACGAGACGTCGTCGAATGCTGCAATATTGGCAGCGACACGCTGAAAAGCTTGCCTCAGCCATAGTCACCGAAGAGTGTTTAAATTCAATGCAGGTGATCTCATTAGGTGCAAGTAGTACGCTACAAGATGTGGAAGCGCGCGGAAGTCCCGAACAGCGCGCACCGCCAGCAAATAAGACGATATATTCCGGAACAGAAGCGACACGATATGATCCCAAACTAGAAGAGACGCTCGAAACAAGCTCGGTGATCTCCTACGCGACTACGGCGTTTGATCTTGATGGAAGCGCAATTACCATACCACCTCTACCGGCGCAAGTATTTGAAGGCTCTGAGTTTCTCTGCCCTTACTGTAGAACAGTCATTCCCTCATGGCATGGAAAAGGCCACGCTTGGAGGTATGGTCTCACCTACATATAATCAGAATTATAGTTAATATTTTCAGGAATCATGTACTCAAGGACCTCAAGCCTTATATATGCACATATGCCCAATGCTCTCATGCTCTTCACATGTATAGCAGCAGACACCATTGGCTTGAGCATGAGAGGCTAGCCCATCGAAGGACCTGGCAGTGTTTTGAGCATGCAAACGCAACCTTTAATTCCTCATCAAAGTTACGGGAGCACTTACAGTCACAGCACCAGGGAGCTATCACTGAGAAGCAAATCGACACGTTGATTGAGGTTGGCGAATCGGGTGTAAAAGACACGCGTAAGAGATGTCCTATCTGTCTAGCGGAGGACCAGCTCCCTAACGGCTTGTCAATGACCAACCATGTTTCTTATCACATGGAACAATTTGCGGTCTTCTCTATCCGAGGGGTTATCGACAACTGGGATACAGATTCAAACGCCGACGGCTCTGCCATGGCGGATGGTCTTCAATCGAATGAATTCTTCGAGGGGACGGACTTGAAATTTGTTTCGCCACCACCTTCCTCCAGTGGAGTCTCCCATGGCACGGGTCCCATCACCGTATCGCCTCTGTCTTCATTCAACAGAGGAAACACCCAAATGAAATTTTGTTTCAGGATTGACGAAATCGCGCAGTCGTCTAGTGACACGGTTTTTGACGAATACGGAATCCGGTTCCCCCCATCAGAACCAGAAGGTCATAGAAGAGCAGGAGGAGGGATCTCAGGCGCATATTGGTGCTGTACGGGTGCAAAGGTTTATGAAATCCCGACTCTACCCCAAGGAGTAGCACGGTATAAAACCTTCTCAATGTATTACTACGGGGGCGTTGGTTTCTGGATCCTGCGAGGGGATGCTGTAAATCCTAAGGATAAGGAAGTTTGGCATCCACTTACGTTTGACTGGGATTATAAGGACTCTTCATCCTTCCTAACACTTTTTGGGGCACATGGCACACTTCTAGTACAGCGCGAAAAACAGGAATGGCCGCACATACTTCTCCCCAGTATTCATCATACTACTAGTATGACGCCTTACGAAACCTATGGCGGCTTATGTGGAGAGCTACCAATTTTTCTTGGCCTAATGGCATTCTCTGTACGGAAGGAAGATCTTCAGGATATCCTACCTACCCTTTACCGAGAGGGGAAGTGGGCCACACATAAATATCCGCATGGACGTACGTATTTTCACTCTTCGGTCTAACTCTCTGCTGACGAGAAATGAATAGGGAGTCATGAACGCGGAATTATTGTATACATTTGGACCGACAACCCCGAATACCTACGAGACATGGAGGATGGAAAGTTTGGGAAATATTTTGACTGAGGCGTTTAAGTGCTAAAGCGCATTAATTTTTCCAACTTGGAAGAATTGCAGATGGTGTAAATTGAATGATGAAGAATGGGCAGCGTCCTGTTCAGTCTTCTAGCTCACTCTCGGGTTGGAATGTACATCTTCCGGCAACAATCAGAAAATATTTCTATCTCAGGCCCTAACTTCTTCTTTGTCGAGGTGTGAGACTTGGAAGAGGAGAGAGTTGATGAACATGACTCTTGGAATATAAAAAGCCAAATGATAATTCGGACAACCCGCTAGCGCGCTAAGCATAATTGAGATGGCACTAGCGGGCAGGAACACCAACTTTCTACCCCAGTCTCTACACACGACCCAAGTCGACTATGCAACGCAGAATAATGTTCTGTAGACGTCTTGAATTATCAAACAATAGACACTGGTTCGACGTACCAATTTCCATGGGATGCAGGCACTGTCTAGGGGGTTAAATTTGTGATACAGAGCTCAGATTGAACCCCTCGTTCCCCGTTACATGGTATCTACAGCCGCGTCTTTGACATCAGCGAAAAACTTCATGCTCCTCCGATAAGCAAGCAAACTAATACATATTCGGCAAGACAGCTTCAAGGGCTTTGAAGAAGAGGGGAAGGAATAAAAACCGTTAAGAAGAACGGGAAATGTTAATTTAACTGCCTTTCGAAAAAACAACCTTGCAAGCAGGCGGCGAGCTAGGTCTAACATCAGATAAGATCTACATCGCGCAGATTACCTAAGTTAATAAGAGACACAACGACTTAGGGTCATGACCTGGGAAGGTGTGTCCCACACAATGCCTCTGGCCAGGCCCAAGGCTGGGCCAGGTCCGTCTCGCAGTGGCTGTCGGGATGAAGCGAGCCAGTGGCCACCGTATTCGCTATGCCGCTGAAATCAAGCGCCGCGAAATCAAACGGGGGAGGGATCGGGGCCGCGGGCCCCAAGTCTCCCCGAGATCCTCACAATTTCGAAATAGGATATATTTGGCGTAAATGACAGCCGTCCAGGTGGATCCAGACAAGTCAGAGGGCTGTACAGCAAAGCGTCGTCCTCTGCGCAAGGTTGAATTAACGGGAATGAGGCGTTTAAACGGCATGGAACGGCATGATTGACGAACCCGAGAGCGCGATTGAGGCCGGGGCATTGGAAGAGGCCGAACAGAACGTGATTGAGTGTCTATTTAGTAAGAGAGAGCGATGAGGCACGGCCTGCAGTTCAGAGTCTCCATATTGAAATAGGGCCATCATGTCAATCGTGGAGATTGTAAAATTGATTTGGTGGTAGAAGTTGGCATGGCCTTTCGAAAGGCAAGCTTTTCGTCAATCTGTTGCCTTGCTCTCTGGATCACGGGGAAATTTGGGAAAGCGACATGGTGAATCCACAGCGAAGTAAAATAGTGACATCTCTAGTAGCGCAAAACAAGTGGATCCTGGCCTCGGAATTCTCTGAGCGGTTACCGGATTTCTGTGTGGTGCTAACGAGCTCGTGTATGTTCCTTGCTTTTACCGGCCATTCTCAGCAGGCCCATGCATTGCCGGGCTGTCATGATTGTTGAAGCCATAATACCTTGCCAACAGCAACCAGCACCCGTCGGTCCTAGTATTAGACGAAATCTCGCCGGAGGTCTACGGTAACAGCGAGTACGTCCGGGAAGCGTACCATGTAAGCCGCACAAGCTCGTCTTCCTACCCGAAAGAGAGGGTGCCTTAGTGTCGTCTTATGGATGCCTGCAGCACCCCTAACCGACTTCAGAGAAGGCAGAAGGCAGACTCGACTTGCAGTATCCGCCTTCTTCAGAGCACGATGCGTCACATCCGCCCCTGGATGATGCTACCCGCCTCAACAAGCCGATCTCGTGGGCACGCCTTTAGTTGGATCGGTATCAACTCTTCTTTGATTCACATCTTTTCATCTATCCAGCTAGAAACCAACATAAAAAGTCGTCAGCCCCACCATATGCCCTAGCTTGCGCAAGACTTGGGATTCATCATTTGAATTTATCGGCCGCAGTTGGGTTTTGTGCTTTCGGTTAGCTAGCCTCTATTGTTCCACCTGCCCCAGGTGAGAAGGTTGCGGTCCTCGCTGTTCGATACGCTACTAATTGCCACGAGAGAATAGGGCGCTTGAAGCACGGTCATAATATTCCAAGTATTGCTCGACTCCCGCTCGATAACATCGGTCTTCTCGCCAGCTCCTTAGTCACCGTAGTCTTGACATTCTCGCGTGGGCCATTGCTGCCCGTGGCTCGACAAAAGGAACAAGGCAGCACGGGACGTCTGAGGACCACCTTCCTGAGCCAAGGAAGTCGGTACCGCTGGTGTGCGCATGCTACACTGCCATCGCAAGAACGGATGGTATCGCTGTCAAGGTCGCTCGTGCTCGGATGGTGCTGATACTGAGTAGAACAAACGTACCTATCCCCACCGAGCTGGGAGAAGGAAGGCAGATTCCAACTCAAGCATGGAACATAACCTGTTTAATCTAGCCTACCCTGAGCCCTTGAGCACCCTGCCGGCTTGGGTGTCGCCAACCCCATCGATAAATCCTAGGACACCAGACGACCCCTTAAGCTTCAATAATCAAAGTGTTGAACATGGACTTATGTGGAGTGATAGGTATTACGGTCCCAGTTCAGATGGCTGGCGGGATCTATGGAAAACTACACAACAGGGTCAACAAAATCTACAACATCAGTCTATAGGCTTCGGTGCGCACAACCCGTTCGCATCATTCTCAAGGTCAGACAGTGTCCCGGTTTTGGGAAATCGGTCTAATTTGGACAATGGAGCCCGTAACCAGCCTTTGCATGCACCGGAGGTTGAGGATACGTCGGCATCGTTCCCTGTAACTGGTGGGTTCTTTTCGTGGAACACAGACCGTCCTATGACCTCGAAGGTTACACAACCGGCCGGGCTCTCTCCTAGTGTTCCAATGTGAGCATTACCAGCAATACAACCCAGGCTAGGGCATATAGCGCTGACTCTAGCTGTAGGAAACTTGTTCAGGGAGGGGACTCTTTTCCCGACCGGCAAGGTGGCTCGGTTCCGGCTGAGAATGTTATGTCCAACAAGTTGTATAGTGCATATCGTACATCGGATATCGGTCCAAGGTAAGCCTCGAGCGCAGTTTCTAGTTCGTAAGTTGATGGGGGACCTAGAGAGGCAAAAAAGAGACCAGCAGAAGGATTCGCGATCCCAACGCAGGAGAAACACCATGATACAATCCAAACGCAGCGATCACCTTCGCCAGACACTTCTGCCAAATCCAAGTCCTCGGTAACTTGCCAACTTTGTAGGAAGGTATTAAAAGGTCAACACGCGAATGGGAATATGAAACGGCATCAGAATTCTGACGCATGCGGACGCTTGAAGGAGAGGAAGAAATACCCATGTAAAATGTGTGACAAGGTTTACAACAGGTCCGACGGATTGCTGAACCACAGACGAAATAAGCATAGTGCACCGGCCGCATCAAACGTAGAGCCTTTCCGGGGGCCGAAGAGACTCCGTCCCCATCGCCTAGTATTGGAGGGAAGCCAAGTGTAACGAAAGGTATTCGACCATAGCTGTGATAATGGGCTAAAATTACTAAGGCCAGGGCCCGATCCTTCCTCTGAGAACTTTTCGTTCCCTTCCCTCCTCATGTTTAGCTGGGGTTTGGTTGCGGACGAGCATTGCTCCGGCAAAGTGTGGGCTTGATATCCGTTGTGATCACTAGAGGGTCCCTATCGAACGATACTGCCTTGGGCAGCGGCGCCGAATGTGTAGAATGTGTAGAGGTTGGGCGAAGCGAAGACGCAGGATGTTCGTACGCTACCCCCCCCACTCCCTAGGACGGCCTTTTCTGGGAGGATTCGTGGGCATTTCCGAGGACGGGCCTCCGGTCGCTGTGTCGATGAGGATGATCTGGAAGAGACTGTAGGGAGGGGATGAGTGAATGGGTCAAGGGGAAGAGCACGAGGTCGAAGAGGATGGTGTGAGGTTGAGAGAAAGTTTAGGCACCTGTAGTGTGTAGTCAACACGAAGGCTACCAACCATATTGGGAGGGCTGGGCGACCCGATATTAGTACGATCACAATTGGCCAGGGCTTTCCTTCTTCCAAGATTGCTTGTGGACATTCCGTTCTTATTTCCATCAAATTGAGAAGGATATTGCCGTCTGGATGTTCCTGGCATGATAAAAGGCTGCTGGAGTGGTCAAGTCTGTCAATATTTCGCTATTGACTGCCGTCGTCACACCCGTGGCTTCCACAGCCAAGCCCCCCTTCCTGTGGAACGCCTAACCATCAACACTCGCACAGACTTGTCGCCGCTAGATTGCACCATTTCCCAGTAGCGCCTCACGGCGGGTTGATCGTGAACTTTAGAAAGAATCGTGGACCTCCATTTCAGGAAGGGTGCAACCCCAAGGCGAAATACCAGGCATTGGGCGCAACAGTCGGCAGGGATCATGGAAGCAAACACACTTCAAAAGCCACGAGTCTCTGTATGTGTGGGCGGATATCTCAGATTTGCTAAAAAAGCAATCCAATTGAATCGGCAATATGTATTCTGAAACCTGAAGCTCCAACACCAGTACACGTAGACTCTACGTTACTTCAGCGGGCCTCTCAATAAGGGGACTCATGGATCACTCTTGTGGAGAGAGTGATATGGCGAATCCTGAAATCGCTTATGTTGCTTATTATGCAAACTCTGGCTTTATGTACCGCCTCGTTCGTCGACCTTTCAGGAGAGCGTAGCACTTTCGACGACAGTCCAGCACATCAGAACTGAAGCCAGAGGATTCCTATGTTTCACAGGCCTACAGAGTCCTGCACCAAATTTACTTACCCAGGACAAACCTCCTCCATCTTACACAGTGCTCTCCTCACAACCTGGCAACAGAAAGCACTTGACTCAGCTCATCTCGCGGTCGCGAAAGCAACATCCCCACCCCACGGCTCAAACGCTCAACCCCCGGCCCCCTTTCCCACCCAAACGAACTGTCACATGAAGCAAGCCTGCACATCTCACCAATGAAAGGGCCGTCTCCTTCTCGCAACATATTCTCCGATGCCTCCCTGGCCAGCCACGTTACCGCCGATGCCGCCTCCACTGCCCTCGGCGTTGAAGCGTGGGAGGCGATCACAAAAACTGATGAGGCATATTTTAAACTCAAGCCAAGCGAAAATATTTGAAGTCGCGATGGGATTGCCAGGTGCCGAAGATGACACGATCTAGTACGATTCAGCTAGAAAGGGTTTGGGGTATATGATGATGTAAGTTTGGCTTTCCCCTGGTGCCGGCATCAGCCGACCACACTCCACCAATCAACATCGTCAATATCGCTGATTAAGCCAACATGACCGTAGTCCACTCACGTCGCCCCTAGAGAGCTTCTTCAGCCCGTCCCATGGAGGTCGAGCTGACTCTAGCATCTCGTCTCCATCGACCCCGACGACCAACAGCTAGAGTCCTGCGCATTCCTACTGACCTCCTTTGTCAGACTCACATCCCACCACCAGAAGAGGCCCGACCAACATCTCCCAAAATGTACGACGACGCCAATAAGTCCCTTTTCACGCTGTAAATTCAAAAGACTCCTCAAACTAGGTTCCTTCTCGTCCCCAACCAAGTGCCCTATTATACGAACAGATACGACGCGCTTCTATTGTTTCTATATCTGCTGGTCCGCTTTATGCGAAGACTTAGGAAGGGAATTGAAGTGACGCACTGGCATAAATACCATCGTCAAGAGCATAGGAGCTCTCGGGCAAGTTCGCAAGCTCACCTAGAAACTTGTTCGCTCCAGCATGAAGCGTAGCACACTTGACATGTTCATCAAACCTGCGGCTAAGAAGCCTAAATATGAGGCCAGCCTGCACAAGTCCAACCATGTAACTTATCCTTTCGCTGTCTCCCACCTGCCTGCTCCGTTCACCAAGCAATTAGGCACCGTGCCAGTGACAGAAGGGAAACCCATCAATGACCAGCCCAACTTGGATCTGGTGTATTATCAGCCATATATACCAGTGTCGATCCAGGCTGGCATGTTCGAGTTCCTGCGTCAAGAACTCTTCTTCTACCGCGTGCAATATAGTATCAATCGTGGAGGCATCCAGACTCAGGTCAACACGCCCCGCTTCACAACCGTCTTCGGCGTCGACGCAACATCGAGGTTCAACGATAACGGAGACCTTGTCGACGCCAAGACGAATCGACCTCTCCTGCAAGGACGATATAAATGCAAGCCCAGGCCTATTCCCCAATGCCTCAATGAACTGCGGAAACTGATTGAGTCCGTGGTGGGGGAGAACTACAATTTCTGCCTTGTAAATTATTATGCCGATGGCAGCGACTCCATCGCCTACCACTCCGACGACGAGCGCTTCCTAGGCGCCGACCCGGCAATTGCAAGTCTGAGTCTCGGAGCTAAACGGGACTTCCTCCTCAGGCATAAAACTGGGTCACCCGGCAAGCCGAGGCAGATAAAGCTGCCGCTAGGTAGCGGAGATATGGTACTGATGCGTGGGAAGACGCAGGCAAATTGGCTGCATAGTATTCCGAAGAGAGTGGGGGAGGAGGCGAAGAAGGGGAGGATTAATATTACGTTTCGGAAGGCGTTAGTGAAGGGGGGGACGGATAATTACTATATGTATAACGTTGGGGGTGGGTGTGTGTTTAGGTGGGATGATGGACTGAGGAGGATGATGCTGTGGAGAGAGGGCGATGTTGCGGGCGCGTCGAGGACAGAGGCTCAGGCTCAGGGCGGTACTGCGGGACCACTTCGCGCTCAGGCTGATGAAGTTGCCCAAGCCCAAAGCGTTGTCGCTCTTGCTGGAACTCCCAGTAGTAGTGTTTAGGGGGAGGAGACTTGGCAGAAAGATAGTGGGGGAGAGCGTTTTTCATGGAATCACGATTCATGGTGTTGGGCGTTGGCGTATAGTAATCGGCGTTACGATGTTCGCCTCTTGATTGTTTGCCGTTTGGTTCTTCCGCTGTCTTTGGACGTCTGACTGAGTCTCACTTCACGACAGAAAGCAACTTAAAATCGAAGATTCAAAAAGGATGTGCAATCGACATAAAAAAGTTGAAGGGCTTTGGCTCAATGTAGGGTGTTGAAAATTGGTTGCTTAGGCTAGCTGGGGACTGGGAAGAAGCTGAAATAGAGGGAGGAGAGAGGGGGATGTAGTTGCTTTCCACAATGTAGCTAAAATGTAGCTCGAGAATGTAACATTTTCGTCGTGGCTGCTATTCAACGAAATGCGCCATATATTGTCGTGATGTTTTCCTGCCGGACATGCGATGAATCGTGGCCCCTGGCAGGAACCGGTTGCAGAAAAGGGGGTGAGAACCGGCAGAGATGCTGTGCTCACCCACAACTCTGTGTATGTCATGAAAGATGAAACTGCGCGTTTTGAAAGGGAATTCCCAAAGAGTTTTGATAGCAGCTTAATGAAATAGGCATAGCGCGGTGATGGAGAGATTTTGGCAGTATATGACCGAAAAGAGGGTGTTCTGAAGAACGAAAGGATGCTCACATGGCCAGACTATCGACCAGGCAAGGAACTCGTTCGCGCGATGCTCGGAAGAAACGAATGAAAGGTCGTCGACGGCTGTGTCAAGCGGTGAGGCTTATCGACGGCGCTCATTGGGTAAGTTGAGCAATGAAGTCGGTGGCTTCAGCGGCATCAACCCCGCGAAGGACGCCGCAGCCTCAAGACCCAAGAAGCACACACGTCGACTCTCGAAGAGCTGGTTACAGGGGCTCTGGTCGAGCGATATGCAGGATAGCAATGAGTCAGAGGTGTTTCCCCGGCACCAGGCTTATTAAGACTCTGGTACGATGCGATGTGACGGATGGTCTTGAGGCTTGGCGGAGAGGAGGGCTCAAAGACTTAAGAGCTCCGTCTGAGGCCTGCGCCGTTCCTCCTCCACGACCGCTATTATTCCACCTCGGCCCCGCCCACGGCACTGCTTGATCCCCGGCATCGTGTCAAGTGACCTCAACCGGGACCGCGACCGCGACCGCCCGATTGCTGTGATAGACAGCCGCATTGACTGCCCACGGCTTGCGAGAGGGTTCAGCAGTACCACTACGTCAGGTCGGTGGGTTGTGATTGCGACAGGCTCCCCACCACTCAGGGTTCCTTCACCACACTCAACGCAGCGACTAAGCACGAGCTTGCAGGCTTCAGCGACCCGTGGTCCATTGACTGCGACACCCATTGCCTACCTTCGTCTACCTTCGTCTACTATTTGGCTCTCGTCTGCCATTGCTAGAGGGACTGGATCCAACCGCCCCCAGCCGATAGGGTTTCGCACATTAAAGTCTATATTGGGCTCGACACGGTGCTCAAAGTCTGCTTCATACAACCTAAGTACGCTGGAGGGTCGCTGCATCACGGAGCACTTACCTGCGAGGCTTTATCAAAAGTGCGCGTGAACCAGTGAGAGAACTCGACCGAGGAGGAGAGCGCATCGCAGGAAAGAGCAGCACCACCGGGCAGTGTCAGACCTCTTCAATCTTAAACACCTGGTCAAAGCGCTTGGCGTGCTGGAGTTACGACGCACCACCGAGAGATTTAAGGCCGTGCAGCCCACGAACGAGCAGTCGCCCTCCACTCCACCTTTACCAACACCTCCTCCGCACAATTCAGCTACAGCGGACCTTATTGCCATCTGCAGCCGGCCCTGCGCAGCCCCTAAACCCCGGCTTTTCGTCCGCTTCATCTGGCGACGAGTGCATCACTTCTCATCTCATTCGGACTTACTACCCTAAAATCCGATCCCTCCGTGGGCGAGCATCGCTGTGTTACCATGCCTCCCACCCCGCCGTCGACGACATCATCCAGCACAGGACACTCGCCACCCGACGCGCAGTTCAGGGTTGTGCGAAAGCGCAACCGAGTCCCCCTGTCTTGCGGGCCCTGCCGACACAGGAAGTAGGCAACCTTCCCCTCCCCTCCCCACCGCAGACTGATTGCAGGGCCAAGTGCTAATTTATTATTTTTTTTTAATCGCAGGCTGAAATGCAATCGCGGCCATCCCTGCGACAATTGTACCAAGCGGGGAGACACGGGATCATGTACGTACGCTACTCCGGGCAGTCGCAAGAAGAGCTCTTCCAGCACTGGCTCCGCCACTTCTCCTGATGACATGCAAAATCGCATTGACCGTCTGGAAGGACTTGTTCTTTCACTGATGACCAATGGCGCCCAGAGTGCTGGACCAGCTGCGGCACAGGCTGCCATCGCCAATAGCATGAGCAATGGCTCTGCCGAACATCCGTACGATCTCGTCACCGGACCCGAGTCGATAAAGGAGGAGGATGAGGGCGAGGAGAGCGAGGTTGAGCAGGTCGCGAAATCTATCGGCGTAATGAAGGTCGACAACAACAGGGCGGTGTTTGCGTCCGAGGCCCATTGGTATGCGATTCTGGGAGAGGTGAGTCGCAGCGTGGGATGTGCGGCATGCAGATCTGACACCCCGTAGATTTCAGAAGTCAAAAACTACTTCACCGAACACAAGAAGCAGTTCGACGAGCAGCTGAAGCGATACAAGGCCAACCACACCGACGAGTACACCCCCGGCACTGCATTCTTGTTTGGCGCCCAGAAGCCTACCTCGTACGCCGAGATCCTCTCTCGGTTTCCCCCAAAACCGACCGCCGACATCCTCGTCTCGCGATATTTCAATACATACGACCCCGGAATCCATATCATTCATGGGCCGACATTTCAAAAACAGTATGACAAGCATTGGCTGAACCCCAATGAGTCGCCAGTCATTTGGCTCGGGTTGGTGTTTGCCATGATGTGCATAGCATTGCAGTCATACAGCAGAGCAGGAGATGAGCCCCCGGAATATCGAGGGAAGTCTTGGGCAATGTCGAGTGAGTATCGGAGCTTGACCGCGCAGTGTCTCGTAATGGCAGACATTACGCAGCCGATTACCGATATGTTGGAAACTCTCATCCTCCATGTCTATGCTGATTATGCCCGCAGTAGAGATGCGGAAGTGGGCATTCTGATCAGCACTGGCATTATTGTGCGTCTTGCAATGCGGATGGGACTGCATCGCGATCCGGCCCCCTATTCAGGTATTTCTATTTACCAGGGTGAAATGCGACGGCGAGTGTGGGCTGCAGTTCGGTCCCTGGATCTGTTGTTTTCGGCACAAGCTGGCCTCCCTCCTATTATTCGACTACGAGACACGAATACCGAGATCCCGCGGAATATCTACGACGATGAGCTGTTTGAAGATATGAAGGTATTACCGCCTTCAAGGCCGGCCACGGAAGCGACGCCGACGCTTTTCTTGATCAACCGGACACGTTTGATCTACAAGTTAGGCGAAGCGGTTGAGCTGACCGATTCGCTGACTTGCTCATCGTATGAAGAGATCATGAAGCTGGATCAACAAGCTAGAGAGTTGCACGAAGGCATATCTCCTCATCTCAAGATACGATCCATGGACGAGTCTGCACGTGATCCGTCGACGCTCATCATGCAGCGCTTCACCCTCGACCTGATGTATCTGAAGATAATATGTGTGCTGCATCGGAAGTTTCTTGCAGCGTCGAGGAGTAATAATCGATTTACGTATTCGAGGCGAGTGTGCATCGATGCGTCAATGACGATGCTTCAGCACCAGGCAACGTTACATAGAGAATGTCAACCGGGCGGGCGGTTACGGAATGTGAAGTGGTTCATCTCATCACTCACAACGGTCGACTTCCTTCTCGCGGCGATGATCGTGTGCTCTGATCTCTACCATACGGCGCGTTTCGAACGCCAAGGTCGGTCTCCAGGAGGCGATGTGTACCTCTGGAGCCACGACCGACGGGACGAAATGCTTGACGCGATTGAGGTCGCCGTGGGTATTTGGGATGTGCTCAAGGATCATTCGATGGAAGCATACAAGGCTCACGCAACACTGAGCGTGATGTTGCAACAATTGAAGCAGCATCAGGCAATGAGGCAAGCGCAGCAAAGCTTCTCGTCGGCTCCGTCGACCGCATTTCCAGCACCTAACCCCATGGATGACTCGAATGTCGCACCCGAGCACTCGGCGGCTATGACTCTGGGCATGCTCAGCACTGGTGGCCTCACGCCCAACTCGGCCAATATGTTCGACACGCGGTACCCAGCTTCCATCGGGAACCTTCTGAACGACCCTGTTCCACAACAGCCTTCGTCGGGCTTGTCACCGAACTTTGGCGCAGGGGCAACGAGTGGGCCGGAGAATGCACCGAGCCCATTCTCGAATCTTTTCGGATCGAGCATTGGCTTCCAGAGTATGGATCTACCGAGCACGGACAATATTGATTGGGTAAGTAGTAGCAATATTAACATCAGTTGTCGGGCCAATACTAACAGCCGCAGAACGCATGGGATTCATACATCCAAGGCCCGAGCATGGATGCGACCAACTCATTCTTCCCAATGGATATCGGATCCATTCCCATGCAAACTGATGCAAACGGCCTGCCGACAGCACAAGGTTCACCACAGCAGAATGGAAATTCTAACGCGAATGCGTTTTCGGGGAGTGCGGGGGTGAACGGCGGAGTCTTCATGGGGGTGAGCACGCCTCCTCACAATAACCTCGTTTAGGCAGATCCTAACGAGGTGTAGGCGGATCCGAAAACTTCTTCTGGGGAGGGATATGCGATTGGCTTCATGATACCAAAGACCAGCTAGGTCTCTGTTTGGTCTAAGTTTGGTCTATGTTTGCGCTGGGCGACAGCGATTGGCGAAGCTGTAGTGCTTCCGGCGTGTTATGAAGGGGCACTTTTGGGTACGGCGTGTGGGAAAGAAATGAATGGACACTCATTGAAGATGTCGACGACATGGAACGAATGCATGAATGCACGAATGCAGGAATGCAGGAATGCAGGGATACAGGGATACAGGGATAGGTCTGTGATGATGTTTTGAGATAGATCAGTAGGAAGTGTACCTGTAGAGTAAGAAAAGTGTTAATAGTATGCATGCACTCCACTCGGTTCCCGGGTCAGATGGGCAAGCGTAGCCGGACACTGCCCCGCGCTTCGAGACCCTCTGTGACGGACAAATTGCCCAACTCCTCTCACAGTTCAGTACATACCTCGTCTCACGATTCAACACATCATCTCCAGTCACCCTCTTCAGATATCTTTGCCACTTCCTCGACATTGTGTCTCAATTATCCAATCCAGGAACGCGCCAATTCAAGCTTCGATCGGCCGCGTCTCGTTTCCAGTCAGCCCCACTCCCAGGCCACATCTTATCGCGGGGTCGACGCCGCCGCGGCTCAGCTGAGACCTGAAGCTGAAGCAAAGGCAGCAACGTCATAGTTGGTATTGATAGACGAAAAGCTGACGGTGTTCTGGGGCAACTTTACGCCGTGGGGCTGATTTACTTGGAGCCTCGTCCGGGTTGACTGGAGTAAGTTACTTGTTCAGAGGACTTTATGTGCCGCTCTGCCTTGGGTGTCTTGCCTGAAGACCCACGACCTTCAGCCCCAACTCGACCCCTCTCTCGCTCCAGCCTTAGACACAAACGAAGACTCCTGACGACTTCAAGCGCCGACCTCTCGCTCTAGCTTTGCTCTTCAGTTAAAGTGGTAGCACATACACGCTCGCGCACACGATAGAAGCATGGCAGCCACCAACCCCTCAAACCCCCCAACCTCATCTCCAGCTCCCATCACCGCCCCCACTTCTACCACCGCAGCTGCAACCGAAACCCAACCCCCCATTTCCCCCGTCCAACGCTCATCCTCCTTCCAGCACAAAACATCTCCCGCTGTCCCTCCTACCCACTCTTTCATCGAAACAAATACGCCTGCCATAAATGATACCCCGGTAGAGTTGGATAGTGTGCCTGCAAGCCTAAAAGGAGGTAAACGGAGGAACACGGCAGGCGAGGGAGAAGGCGGAGTAGTGAGTCCGAATTTAGGAGAGGAGGAAGATATCAATCAGGAGTTTTTGGGGGAGGGGAAGGATGGGGTGAGCAAGGAACTGCGGGCTGTGAGTTGGTTTTTCCCTTGCTGGGTGGTATTTGACAAGCTTCCGAAGCCATAAACCAACCCAGTTCATCTCACCTCAGCACATCCCAGCGATGTGCAAGCATTACTACACCTCTCCCCCTCTCTCCCCCTCTCTCCCCCCACCTCGCTCTACCGATGCTGACTACAATGATACCACAGAAACGAGCAGCGATGCTTGCCTCGCGATCGAAAGACCCCGCTGTTCTAGTCGACCTTCCACAGGAACCTACGGCCGAGGAAGTCGAGGCTGCGAAGAGTGGGGAGGGGACCGTGACGCCCGGGTTGGCAAATCGGGAATTTGAGAAGTTGGATAGGGTGGATGCGGTAGGGGAGAGGTGATGATCATGTCATTTATGGGGTGCTGTTGGAGGCTAGTAGATATAGGTAGGAATGGAGGTTTGAGGTTAGGAAGTTTGAGGTTGGCAAGTAGGGAGGGTTCAAACGGCATTTTCCACGAGCTAAAGGAAATTGCGGAAAGATTAGGAGATCGAGAAGTCATAGAGCTGTGGAGTTGGTGGTAGAAATGGACGGTTCCAAATCGCGATTTAGAAGCTTGATAGGTCATGCACATAAATGTTGTAGACCGAGCGTATTACACGTGTGTCATGAATATGTGATGGTACCTTGACACCTTTTTTGGAATACCTCCCGTTGTTCAATATTGTTCACTAGATGACACGACATCTCTCGAAGGCTCCGAAATCTACAAGAACGAGGCTCGTTAGCACATCTTCCAGTCAACAACCAACATTCGAGCCCTGTCATTCACCCAAGAGATACTATTGTACAATCACAATCATTTGTGAGGTGCCCCTGCCTATTGGTGGTGTATTAGCTAGCCATCTAAAATTCTGCTCTCCTTTAGCTGTTGGAAGAGCTCTGGCTCCAAAAACTTGCTGATCGTGACGTCCTCAGCCAGAGTCTCCCTGTAGGCGAAACATAATTATCGAGAGAGATTCCGGTGTTGATTGCAAGGGTCAACGGGCTCATCACGTGGCTTTCCCCGCCACCCTTCCTCCTAGGCGTATGAACTCCTCCACCACCTCGCATTTCACTTTCCTCTTCCTATAGGTCTACTATCTTTCTCCCTCGAACATTAAAAGTAAAACTCATTCAGTTCATGTCTGGGTCTCCGTTTCCTTGAGTCTCCAAGCTCAGGAGCGAATATGGAATGGCTGGTCGTCCCAGCAGTGCGGCTAAAAAGAAGCACTCGCAAATGATATGGCTCTGAGCTAGACTACCAGCCCTGACTGGGCCTAGAAATTAGGAATGGGGTGTTTTATGTGTGTTTAGTTTGCTTTGCGCTGTGGCTTGTTCTAGGAGACTAAAACAAGAATATCAGAACGGTATGTCTTGCCTTTTCGGAATCCTGGTACTAAAAACTGCAAGAAGAAAGAGCCATGTTCTGCGCGTTCGGAATCCTGGATTTCAATGTTTTCCTCGGCGGGACCGGTGCCTAGCTGACTGGTTGGATGGATGGCCGCAGGTATATAAACCCCCTCTCTTTCCGTGTCAATCTCGGAGAACTACGACTGGGGCTTCCTCCCTATAGAGGCGGGAACTAAATCAGCCCGATTAACACCTATGGTGCTTGTGTGTCTGGGTCTAATATCTTCGGGCAAGATGATAATGCTTCACATGTCGCACTTGCAGGTAAAAAAAAACCCTCATTCGACGTCCCATGGCTTCACTCTGCTGGTTGGATAAGAGTCTGGCTGCAGTAAGGCTCCGGATTGCAGGTCCAACAAAGAGATCGAAAGACGCGCATCATGGCGACCACTTTCTAGCGGAATGAAAAGCCGTTGATGGAGCTGCATGGTTCGACTACTGGGAAATAAAAGCTTTATCAATCACACTCCACAGCCTTAGTTGCTAGTGGAATAAGAAATCTTTCCAACTATGTCATGGCTGTGGCCACTAGGGAACAAATATCTTGCTGAACACCCCGAATGGCTTACTCCGGATACTAGCGGAATAAAAGGCTCACCATCAGGTTCCATGGTTCCGACTCAATTTCGCGTCTTCCATGCCATAACTAAAAGTTCACGATGTCTGAAGGCAGTGTTGTTGCTTTCGCCGGGACCCCAAAAGGGAATAACTACTGGTGCAAGGACAACTATGGCTCTGATATTGCAGCTTCGCGGTCTTGCTGCCTCACCTATTGGGGAGTGGAGAGGGGTAGAAGGGGCTGATAGGTTTTGTCGTGTACGTACTACCCCTAGTTTTCAGCACGTGTTATTCTCGCAATTCTCAAGTGTATAACACCCCTGTTCCCTGAAATATTGACTCCACTGCTAAGCTTCTCCTTTAGAGTGAGCGAACACAAGTAACAGGCGGAAAATCTATGCTATCTGTCTCTCTGTCTCTAAAAATCGTCAAGGCAGCTCCGCAATAGTTTCGCCCTTTCAGCATCCTAGAATAAAGATACTATCGGCCCGTTGTATGCTAGCTTAGGTCTCCCTCTCCTGCATGCTGGTAAAGCAACTAGAAGACACCAATAACGACTAGATCTCTGCTCTTCTCTTCTCGATCGCTTCTTGGGAAGAGAAATGATAACACAAAGATAGCCTTAAATGGTGTGTAGTGCGGTCTAGAAGATGTACTCATGAGCGAAATGGAGTATTTGAAGCTAAAGCTGAGGATAAGGCTGAGGTTAGAGATAAATAAATAAAATTGGCCATGACAACGGCGATGGTGGAGTGTTTGTTTAGATATGGTGATAACCGCCAAACCAACCACCGGAACGCCTAAAAACTTAGGGATTCTTGGATGAAGATAAAGTTTTGAGAGAATTGCGATGGTTTGTTGTTCGCTACCTTGCACTGGAAACAGAAAGTTTCTCCCAGCTATTCCGTGTGGCTATCCTTCAATGCTGCAGGGAATAGAAGCAAAATGAACCCAGTAAAATTACAACGTTGGGTGAGAAAGACCATACCACAATCTATCGATGATGCTAACCACCGCATCCAAGCCCCTTTCCTTACCCCTTAAATCCCATACCCGCCAAACCACCAACACTTCACCATCCATTTTCACCGCCCTAACGTCAACGCACTAGGTGCTCATTTTTGGAGTTCTGGTCTCCCGCTCATACGTGAACATTAAATAATACTTTCTAGAAGGTTCCGATACCCTGGTTCTGCTCTAGGATACCGATGTGAAGGAGTCAGCCCCTAAAGCCTGTTGCAGGATTAATGGACTGTATCGGGCGAATTCGTAGCTATGTAATCACCACATCTTGCCCCTGAGGCAGAATATCTCCTGGATAACTCGGCATAAATATATGCATTTTATTGACTTTTTGCTTAACTCTGGCAAGGAGACTGAAAAATATATTCAAGCCCAATTATCTTCCGTGTTGGACGACAACATTCTATGGAGGATTCTAAACCCACTCCCTTGGAGGGCAGATAAGTGATAATACCCCTAAAATCTAGCGTCTACCTAATCCTACCGCTTTTCAGACATATCTACATGTCAGCGGAACGGGCTCGTCATCCTGCGCTAAAACTGTGTTACTATGTGGCACCAAAACCATGCGCCAATGTAAATTTAGCAGAGCCGACCTCGAGTTCTCAACGGAGCATGCGGTAAAGGAAGTTGCCTGGTTTCCTTCTTTAGCCCTCTTAGCCCCATTATTTGCGGTCAATGACGATGTCCGTGAAACCCGCCCCTATAATATATGCCACAGCTTTAAATTAGGACCCCTTGCCGGAAAGTATTGGAACGCAGTTTCATCTCGATTTGAGGCAATCAATCTCTTTTCTACATTTCCTGTGTCATGGCAAATTGTTATTCGTTACAGGGGGCATTCTCTCCTTATGATGGAAAATTGTACATACCCTGCAATCTAACTGCCGTCGAAAACGGGAAACACACAGCCTGTTGCGCCGAAGGAGATCTCTGCGCAACTAATGGCTTATGTCGTAACCGAGGTGATACAACGAACAATTAGTTCTAGAGGGTTGGATGCACTGATAAGTCGTTCAAAGACCCCGTATGTCCTAATTACTGTGGGGAATTTGGTAATCTCCCTTTTTACCTGTGATAGTTTCTCGATGTGACTACGCTTAGGGGTGATGTGTGTAATTTAATAACGTGCTGAATAGACAAGGAGATCCAGAATCACCTTGCCTACCAATGTCCACAAAAGGGAACATGGTGATGCGCAAGAGGCGCAGAGGGAATGTTCAATCAAAATAGCATTACATGTTGCAGTATTGATGAGCTCGTCTTCAAGACGGACGATCCCGTATTTTACACGACGGCAGTGGCGAGTCTGATTCAAAGCACGATTATCGCTACACATCTAACTGCTTCTACTCTGACAATACTGTCCACGACTATGGCGAGCACTGCCGCTGAAAATGGAACAACTACGCAATCGACGACCACGGTATCAATACCTTTTTCTAACCCTGGTACTGGCATTGCCGCGCCAAGAAACCCTTCATCTCAAGCACTCGCGATTGGAGTCTCAGTTAGAGCCGTTGTCACATTGCTTCTCACATCTGTTGTGGGTTTCATATCGTGGAGGCTAGGTCGACGACGTCAACAGGAGTCAAAGTCGGCTGCAGAGACCGAGGGATCGAGCACGAGCGCTGCGCTGCAGTGGAGTTGTCTGATGAAAGCTTTCTGCATGAGATAGATAGTAAAATAATGACCCTTGAACTTGAATAAAGAGAGGGTAATTTGGGCGTATAATGAGGAGCGATTTTGAGAGGGAAGATTAATATTTCTAGAGACGATGTAGGACTGACTTAATTTAGGCCGATAGTAGCATCCTCTTAATAATGTTGAACTTTAACCCGGAGGTTTGGCAGGTTAAATCTACCATTTCCTTGTCCTGTATCATCCGGTAAGATTCCGTAGGATATGAGCTGTACTTTCTGGGGGTTGGTACTCTTCTTTTGCTTCTGCGAATCACTAAAAAGTCGAAGGAATTTTTGGCAGCTATCGTCTAATTGTTTTCCTACATCGGCGCCTGCTTTCTTGGACTTGGTCGTGTCTTTTAGGTGCTTTCTACTAGTGTTGACCATTGGCGGGCAGGATTCCCGGGCTATAGGATTATCAGCCTGTAGGGGAATTAAATGGGGCATAAATTGTCAACCAAACATCAAGGCCCCAGGGTGAGGACTTCATCTTCAAGAAGTAATGGTAGATTGCTAGTGGACAACTCTCTAAAAGCATTCAGTCTATATTTTAGGCTAGACCGCTTCAGTACGGGCGTCTTGGATGTCTTTGATGAGCAGACTAGGCAGGGAGCCTCTATACTGATTTTTTCTTTTGCAGTTATGAAGCTCCCGAGGTCCACCACTGCTGCCTACTATAGTTACTTTCTGCCTTATCGTTCTTTTTACCGCGGTAGGCTGTGATGCTGTTAGTACAACTTCCGTGTGGACCTTATAATCGCATTTAGTTTTGCTATCTACAATCCTACCCTTACTCCTATCTAGGTTTTTATTACAATCTTCTAGTGAGGGTAATCTAATCTGCCCGTAATGCTGATTCCAGATCTTTCTTCTTTCCTGCTCAGACAGCCACCGCCGCAACCAGACCGGAGCCTTTCTTTCCCTTCCCCTAGACCTACATGCCAGTGCTAATCACAAATATGCCTCATCTACTAATAAGTAGAGAATCATGGCCCTAGGAGGGGTAGAATGTGGAGCTTGGAGAGAAACGAGAGAAGATAGATTTATTCCTTACCACTGTTACCAGGTCTAAAATCCTGCCCCTTTTCTGGTAAGCTACGCTTTATAATTTAGTCCAAGGCGTTATATTCTACAGCTAGCACTCTCCCCCTAAACTAGATTAAGCCTAGGCAACAGCTTAATCTAGAAGGCATAGAAACACAGGGGAGAAACTAGGGCAGCGCGTTAGATTATCCCTTAGCTAGTAGGACCAGCTATTTAGTTAAGCCTTAAGTGTCGCACGTGAAATTGGTTCACGTGACCTAGCGCAGGGTGAATGTGGGTCCTTCACTTCTCACCTCTTTCCTGCTCAGGACTAGCGCCCTTTTAGCTACTATATATTTATCTCTGAGCTCTCTCGAGCTCCAGAGACTTTACACCTCACATCAATCTACCTAGGTCGTCTCTCATTACCTAATTGACTGCTCCGTGCTCTTCACCATCCGTCAGCTCTAACCCTGCGATATTAAGGACTGCTGCAGTGGAAGTGTGTAGTATCAACTCTGCAACAGGTGTCAGAACCATTAGTCTAGTCTACGTCACATGGCCTGCACTATATAAGACCTTTACAAATTGTACCAAGTTTGTAGCAATTTATCTATCTAACACTTAAATACTACAAAGTTATCTGCCTTTATTACTGTCCTGTGACTGCGCTGTCTAGAATATATATACAGTCCTAACAACAGAATAGAGTAGAGCTTATGCAGTATGAGGGAGACTATACCCTCTAACTTGCGACGTATCTAGTTAAGAAAGTACCTTGCTATTGTTTCCACCGCCTTCCCCGTGCTGCGTCTTAGTAGATACTGCACCAGTAATTACTCTACTAACTTCCTCTATAATATAGGCATGCATCCTTAGCGCCGGTTGCTCTAGGTAGGTATGTTCTGTGCTAGATTACAAACCCACCGTGTAAGAACAACAGGCTTATAGATTCTATCCTCGTGTTCTTTACGGATAGCTGTGACAGATCCCCTTGGTCTTCTTTAGCAAAATTGTTAAATTTGCTCTCCCTAAATATCTCCTAGCCTATTAAGTGCTAGCGTTAACTATAAGCCACCTTATTACCGGACTTATTTCTTAAGAGAGGTGCAATAAGTAGGACAGGCAATGTGAGAGATATCGAGCAGGAAGCACGAGGCACAGAGAGGGAATGCAGGATAGGGGTGTGTGTAGCAGAGCTACAAGAGAGAGAGTAAACCTTAGTGTCGGAGGCAGAGGTACGGAGGCCGAGGAGCCTATATACCCCGTTCCAGGCCCAGAGTACTCAGGGGTTGGATGGCTGTAACATAACCGTGGCAGGCAAGGTCTAACCTAACGTTGTTAGCGCATGATTTTATACCTAAGGCAAAGTCCTAATTCCATACAGTACTGTTATAGGATGGTAGAAAGCAGCAGCAAAGAAGATATCTACAGTATAAGCTTCTTTATGTCTATAAAAGACAACTCTGCCTAAATATTTCTCTCGGGTAGTTAGCAAAACAAGAATAGGTATCTTAAGAGTTTCACTGTAAGCTAGTGCCTTAAGATAGGGTCTTGCTAATCTTGCTGTTGTACTTAGACTGTAGGTGACAAGAACCTACCTAGAAGAGGGTAGAGTAATAATTATGTATTATAATTTACTTAACTAGATTAATGCGCTTTACATGACAACTGTGAACAATTAGAGCTAGCGGCTAGAGATGCTTAATATCTGGTGGGTATTGATATAGATATAGCAGCTATGAAGTTAGGATATGCGGAGGAGACTGAGTTAGGGAGGTGGACGGAGCGAAGGGCGCGAGTATATAAAGCGGCCCATCTTCCCTATCATAGTTTCTGCCCTACTTTCGAATCTTCTCCTCCGCCATACAGTTATTGATCGCTTTTACCTGCCTACCTTAGCCACACAACTATCAAAATATATACTGCTCTCTCCTCCAGGCCCCAACAGGCGGCTGTCCATACCCATACGGACATGGCACTTTGTCTTCCGCTAGTCTACGATCACATCTGCTTTTGCTCTCGTCTTTCTGGTTCTACCATTAAGTAATGCCTACAGTACTATGTCACAAGAGTAAGAAAGCGTCCTATTCCGTGGCAGAATGTAGAGCAAGAAAGGCCACGAAGCCAGTCTGGGTCGGTAATCTAAACGTCCAACCAAGAAAGCGAACGTCATCGACACCCTTTCACCTCCCGCAAAATCCTCAACATACTACCCGGCCACCACTGCTCCTGACTATGGCTCTCCTCCGGCCACAACCTACCCACAAAATTATCGCCATATCTATTCACCATCCCCGTAAGCGTGACAATCGGCAGCTTCCCAATCCACCACGACTCTTCCTCGACCAAAAACATGAGCACGGACCAGTGTGCATAGATGTCGAGAGCAAGAGCCTGCTCCTTTGTCAATTGTGATAATGTGTGACTGGATGCAGGTGGGCTTTCTAGTCGCTGGTCAAGTAGCGGAAGGACGAGGTCGAGGTATGCTTGCGGAGCCTGGACAAGGAAGGCGAGAAAATGGTATGTTAGTGGTTCTGTGGGCCGTAGAATCGCATGTCCGCTCGCATAGCATCGCAGCCACAATCCTGTTCGCGGTTCCTTCGCCGTGAGTCTGGTAGGTCGTGGTGCGGATGAGTCTGATTGGGAGAATGCCTTGGTTCTGATGTTGACAAGGAATTCGAAGGCGGTGGCGCAGGCAGATGATTGATTTCGCTCGTGACCAACATTGCTGTGGAGGAGAGACTTCAGACGCTCTTGAAGCCTGGATAACGCTGCTTGACTGGTCGCAGCGATGATTGGGAACATGACATGCGTGCGCGATGGAGGCAGTGGCGTTGAGCCATTAACGCTTAGCAACGGCGACGGTGTGTCTGCTGCAAGTCTAGTCTCTGGGGGCGCAATCGACTCGCGTGAATCCAATGCTTGGACCGTCGCCCTTATTCCCCGCATCATGACTATTACATCTCTTGGAGTCGTTGAGAGGAGTTTGTGGGACTTGCTCGTCTTCCTTTTGCTTGATATCCAATGGCTTACTTGCTGGCTCACCGTCGTGAAAGGGACTAACAGCAAGGCACTCGCCAAGAGAAGTTCCATTTCTGAAGTACGTGTATCAGGCTGTGCGATCAAGTCTCTCATCTGCTCGCTCGCCAGATTGCAGAGGCGATACCCGGTCATCAAGATATGATTGATAGCATCTAGGCTGGGAGGAGGTTCTTCATCTATCATGTCACCACATATACAAACTGCAGAAAGGGCTTGCAGTGAATAGAAGACCATTTTGTTGCGCAATGCCAGAGCTGGTATGGCCGTTTGGAATGCATCCTGACCTCCAGGAAAGTGCGTCAGTGTACGACTCGTATGCTCCAGGTAATGTTGGTAGAGGTCGGCATCGGATAGTCGCATGGCAGGATCCCCATTGGCATCGGAGTACGATGCTGCTTCCACAGATGCGGGAGTCAACGGAACTGATGTCTCAAATGATGGCGAGTCTTCCGAAAATGCAGAGGCATTTGGAGACCCTGAAAAATGGCTGCATGGCGGACTCGGTAAGGATAATGTGTCCCTTGGCTCATCTGCAGCAGGGGACACTGCTGGTGGGTAACTGCATTTTTGGAAAGTCGATTCGCAGCGCGTGCATGATGGTTTCAGCTCATCGCACTGGAAGATGTCAGCGCTGCCGTTGTATCTATGTCCAGAAGCGTATTTCGTAACAATATAAAGCCAAGTGCTGCGCTGTAGCATCAAGATTGACCTTTTGCTCAGTCAAATTTACTCACCTTTCTTTTCCGCCGCTTGCACGCGAAACACCCCATTCTGGATTTTTGATGTGCCCGTCTCGTTCGAAACATGGCCGAGCTTCTACTGCGATTTCTAGGATCTTGATCGACATTGTTTTGGCTCGACATTTGTTTTGCATTGCGCATCTGTTACAATCTCATATACCCAACTTCTCGCTACAGCCGTCATTCCCTCGCTGTGACGCGTTCACCATGAAAACGATGGATTCTTTCTAATGTTAGATGACTACGTGCGGCTGGTCCCTTAAACATCCCCAGGTCGGCTTAGAATTTGCTCAGCCGCATCCTTGTTTGGTTAAGTCATCCTTGGCCTCGGACACAATCTCTCAGCCCTACGCCAGGGATTTGGAATTATGAGCTCATCAAGCAGAATTACAAATTACATCAGCTCAGCCTCACCGATTGTCGTTGCAATAATCTAGCAAAGCTCTACCTGAACAAGCATGCCGAACCTAACAATGACAGTGGTAGAAAACTTGGCGTAAGCTTTTGCTTACAAGTAACTGTCGTCGGAAGGGCGCGGGCGCACAATAACGCCCATCGCGTTTGATGCCGAACCGGTCATGAGTGAGGAATTGATAGCCCACGTTCGGAGTTGAATCAGTGCACAAATAACGGTCTTGATGTAATCTCGCCTTCCATTAGGCACCTTCAAGGAGGATGTTAACTTGCCGTTGATACCACCAAACGGAATTTCGCCGCGTCCATTTTACCAAAGTCGATTCCATTTGTCGTAACATGACCTGGGCCCTTGGCTTTCTCGAGGTGATCTGTGCATAGTGCGGTGTGCGAATAGAAAACTATCGCACACTCTTCATGGTTGTGATGTTTTTCGTTACCTTGTTGCTGACCATCTCTTGAGGTTCAACGTGCAATCTACTGCAGTCGTATTTTTGTTCGTTTTCGAAACATCATTGATAGATCTTTGCCTTCTATTGATACAAATTTTGTGGCTGGAGGTTAGGTCCACCCTCGGACACTTAACACGAATTAAGGGCAGTGTTAAGACAACAAGAGAGAATATATTTGAGTAATATATATTCGTTGGAAGGACAGCTTCATAGCAAGACGTCTAAACTTGACCCTACCTATCCACGCGTTGCAGCGACAGTATAGGTGTGAATACACCAACTATCGCAGTCCGGCGTCCTTTTTACGTAGGCATTCACTAACGCCACTTCTATACGCCCCCCGAGACTTTCCGGGTCACATTAGATATTTGACGATGCGGATCCAATCAGCTTCTAATTTAGTGTGTAGGATTGACTTGTAGGGGCGTATTCGCGACCAGGGGCGTATTCGCTAAACTGACCAGGGACGTATTAACTAGGGGCGTATTCACTAAACTAACTAGGGGCATATGCGCAAGCCTCACCAGACGTAAGAGCCATTCGCACAATTAACCAAGGGGAGATCTATGAGATTAGCTAAGAGTGTATTTGTAAAACTAACTGGAAGCGTATTTGCAAATTTGACTAGGGTGGTATTCGCTACACTGGTCGGTGTCCTATTCGCAAACTTGCCCAGATCTATTGGTTCACAATAGGATAAGTCATAGTCTGGAGCAATGACATTGAGGCGGTGTTGCCCCTTTATGACTATATAAACTACCTTTCTACTCTGTGTAGATTTCAGCGGATACTTTCATTCCACACTTTGCTCGATCTACCTTATTCTCCTCACCGCACTCTGTCATGACATCCCTTCGCATCTTAGGCATTTTGCTTCTTCTTCATCTTCATCGTCATACTTCGGCTTTGGCGACCGATGCTTCTAATAGACCTTATGGAACTTGTAAACAACTAGATATTCCAGTGTTTGCTACCGCAAACACCGCAATCTACAACATACCGAGGGTAGACAATGATATCGAAGCGACAGCCTGGGCTATTTTCGACGCCACTCGGAGCACTCCACATGACTTGCGGAGTATTATCAAGAACACTACGACTTCCGCTACCTTCAACATCCATGCCCAACTGTGTGTTCCTAAGACTTCCGGAAAGCGCGACATTTTGCAGATTGCCACCCACGGAGTGCATTACGACTCAAGATATTGGGATTCGGAATACCGGCCCGAGAGTCACTCTTATGTCAATGCCGCACTCAAAGCAGGATACTCCATTCTCACATACGATCGTTTGGGAGTTGGCCAATCCGACATACCTGACGCGTACACGGTGGTTCAAGCGCCTTTAGAACAGGAGATACTTCGACAATTGACGTTGATGGCACGCAATGGCACTTTATATGAATTCGCTGAGAAGGCGAAACCTGCCGATGCAGCATTCAAAGCATTGCCAAAACCAAGAAAGATCGTCCACGTCGGTCACAGTTTTGGGTCCTTCCTTACCTCCGCATTCATTGCCAACTACGGTCCTCTGAGCGACGGAGCAATCATCACGGGTTACCTCCTGACCCTGAATCTAGCAAGTGCTGGGTCAACGTCGTTTAACGTCGAGTACGCCGCCACGAGCAACCCTTCATACAAGCGACCAAGCGGCTACGTCGTGTGTCAGAAGAGTGGCATCCAGAATATTTTCTTCGCAGGCGATCTCAAAACAGCGTACACACCAGAAATGCTTGACTATGGCAATGAAATCAAGCAGCCGGTGCCGATTGGAGAGTTCGCCTCTGCCTTTTGGCTCCTAGGAAAAACTGGGCCTTCCTTCAAAGGGCCGGTGCAATATATGCTACCAGAATTCGACTTCTACGTATGTCGCGGCGATTGCAAGGGGTTGGCAAATGTGACAGCTCTGACAGAAACTTACCCTAACGCTACTGCTATCGAAGTCGCCATCCAGCCTAACACCGGCCATGCTTTGCCGCTTCACAACAATGCCACTGCCGGTTTCCAGGTCACGTTCGATTTCTTGAAGAAACATGGATTGTAGTCTGCTTAGCTGTTGCTGCAACTGGAGCCGCTGCCTGTTATGGAGCACTGTATCCCGGCTTTTTGCCTGGCAGACCTCACACAATGTGCTCTTCTGAGGCTCTATAGATTAGATAGTGATAAGACAATCGATCGCATGTAAAGCTTTCTACCATAACCATCAGAGATGAAATGAAGTAATGCTGGCTCCGCATCTTGACCGTGAGTTTATAGTGATCAGGCTCGGGTTAGGGTACTAAGACCGGTATTCGGTATCTGTACAACTAAGCGGCGAAGGGGCCAGTCTGCCGCAGAGTTGTCAACAGTCAGCCTGAGACTGATTTATGGCAGTTAGTTAGTTAGTTAGAACAGGTTAAACTGTCACTGACTGTAAAGCTTAAAGACGTTAGCTATAATTTATGTAACTGCTAAAAGTAAAGCAATTATTTATTTTAACTAACTGATAAACTTTTAGCTAGCTTTAAACTAGTTAAGTTGCTTTATATTCTTATAATCTAATCCTTACTGTACTTGGAGCCACTATTTAAGGTAATATCTGCCTGTTCCTAGCTCTTTATACACTATAAAGTAGTAATTAACTTCGGCCTTATCTATAGTCTCTGAATATTACCTAACTTCCTAAAAGTACACTTGCAGTTAGTAGTAGCGGCAGAGATTATAAGGACATATATTGCAAGTCCTAGCAGCACTGGGTACGTGTATTATCATATTTCCTAGCACTCTACTGGGTTATACAACGGGTTTTTATTCTTCTCTAGCGCCAGCCTCAGTTCCTAAACCTATTACTTAGGTTATCTTTAACTTACTTTATTACAGCCTCTATTTACAACTTTATGAGCTTTTATTAAGATATAGGTGCTACGCCTCTCTTCTATTTGTGCTTATAATTGCTATGTTCTTACGCTTCTTCTACATTACTAAAAATGCATTATAATTGTTTATAAGCTAGTTCCTATCGCAGCAAGGCCTAAGTTTATGTAAATGGCGCTCAAATCCATAGGATCATCGGCACGACTATATGCACCAAGAGACAGCGAAAAGGCATGCACAAGTTGAACCAGTGAGAATTCAGATTGCATAGTCGATATTCATGAGCGAGATAGAATAACCCCTAGGTGCCGGGTCCCACCCGGATCTTTGACCTGGTCCGCTTCCGGGTCCTCGTGTGTCCAACCCATCACATAAAGAAGCTCTTTCTAGTTTAGGTTTAAAAACAGCCTAATTAACTAGCAAGCAATTACTAGGTTTATAGCTTTAAAGCTATTAAGAGCACTAGAGGTATAAGAAACTAGATTGATTGGTAAAGGAGTGTACATAGGGGTCTATATATATTCAAGAAAAGGGGTAAGTCTTGGCAACATGTGGCTATTGTGTAAACCATGCGTGACTATTGCAAACATGAATAGAGAGGCATAGTCACTAGTAGATAGTAGCTTGGCCTAGTTACATTCTTCCTTATGTTAACAGGGACCGAAAACTCACGGCTCTTCAACTTTTGAAGAATACTATTAGAAGAATCTTGATGAATTATCGATTACGACGATTAGTCTGGATGCCTCACTACTGCCTCAAACATACTCATCACCAGGCGCATTATTGGCCTCGTTTCATTTCCTAGATTGGTGAATCAATAATTTCTCTTATGATAAAGATTTGTTCGAGACTTATTGTCAAGCTAGTGAAACCCCAACAAGAAATCAGCACAATGGATAGTTTGCAGGGCTGAGCCGATGCAGCCAAATAGCTGTTACTCTCCAAAGATCCATTGGGATTCCCTGTTCAGCCTAATAATATTAATAGTAAGAAAGCGGATACAATTGATGTAAAATACCTGACTAGAGTGCAGGTGAACAAAGTACACGGTTGCTCTGTCTGTCTATTGGCGTCCTATGTCTTTGAAGTCGTTCACGCCGAGCGCTGAGTAAATAATTTGCAATGAAACAAGTTAGTACGTATAAAATTTGACCTGATTAGGGCAGCTATCGAAATCCCTCCGTCTATATTTTGCTTAGCTTCTCCTTCACAGCCAACTTTCACTTAGCATACCGCCACTCTCACTGCCTTTGAGGAACTCCTTGGAGAGAAAGCTATTTTTCTTGTTCAAGGCACGAGAAATACACTCTCGGATAGTGGTTAAATTTAATTACTGCTCAGAATGTATTACTCTTCAGTCTGCACAATCGAATGCGCCATGCGTGGTTCGTGAGATGGTCTCTCCCATCTCACCGAGGTATTGAATCTCAGGAAACTCTCCCCGAGCGTATTTTATTTGATAAGGTTGAGGGAACCGCTAAGGATGTACGTCGTTGCGAGTCTTCTAGGACGAGGAAACTGATGCCGCATTTTGCGCTAGTGCATCTTAGGCTGCGATGGCTAGCTTCAGCCAGGATATTTGGGTTGCATTCGGTTCCCACACCGGTGAAGCTCTGCACAACACAACACCCTCTTCCATGCGGCTCACTGCCATTTTTCAACCGAGGCGTTTGAAGATGACTGCTCTTCAATGGCTATTAGTCCCTGCATTTTAGGAACCAATAACAGTGGTCCCGCGCGAGGAACAGCGAGGTAGTAGCCAGTTGCAGGAATTAAATCGTCTGTTCTCGTCAATTGCTTGATAGCTGTTAACCTTGCTGGCGATCTTCTCACGGGACGTAGACTTAAGATAAGCGTATTTCAACCACCGCTGTCCTCCCTAGAGCACCTAAATGACACAAAAGCAGTGTCATATTTTACGGTAAACTAACGCTGTTGTTTGAGAAATTACAAGGAATCTTTGTAGAAGCAGCGCCGATGTCATTGGCTAAAGAATAGTAAAACCAACTTAAAAGACTAGTTGATCTTGTCCACGCATAAACGAGTGTGCAGTTCCAAATTCCCAATAATGGTGCGCTCTGGTTACGAGCAGGTATTCTGCTACCAAACTATTCCTTGCCAAATTACATGTTCATGCCGGGGAGCTCCTTGAGCCCTATAACACGAGTGATTAGCTTTTGCTATCTTAATAAGAGGCACGATTACTTACATCCATCGGTGGGCTCGTTAACTAATGTCTTGACCGAGCACTTATTCATCTGGGCCGGTGTCTGCGACTTAAGGGGCTTTCCGTTTTCACAGGCCTGGAACATGCAGGAGGAGTCCATGGCGCGCTGGAGCGAATCGCCCTTCCACCCGAAGACGTAATCGGCATGAGTGCCGTAGCCTTTGTTGTCACCAAAGCTTAGGACGAAGGGGTTCGAGCCGTCCGCAGGCCACATATTGTCGAACGGAGTCGTATCCCACAGTGTCTCATAGGCTACCTGTGGCATCCGAATGGGATGCGAGGACGGACAGGGACCAGCAGGTGAAAATGCCTCTTTTGCCGTGTTATACATATGAGATTGGTGGTCCGGGCTATCGAGGTTCTTGCCGTCCCAGCATCTATATGGTCAGCGAATGGGGACAACGATAAAAAAGGGAGTACTGACGAAGGGAAGTGATGAACAGTCATAATGCCCCGTTTACATTTCTTCGTGGGGAAGTCAGGGAGCTCGGGGAATCTCGTGCTCTTGGTGTCTAAGCAAACGAATCGAAGTCCCACGTGTCCCTTTGCGGCGGACAGAGAATCGGTTGTCGGGCTGCCAACCGTCATGCGGAAGCCCTAATATTATTAGTTTCTTGCTACGGAATCGTAGGCAGAATTAGAACAGGCAGAAGACCTACTGGCTTGAAAGCTGTAATCTTCTGGTTGCCATTGGAGTTGAAGTCTTGCTGCGTGTAGTAGACCGTCATTCCACCATTAATACCGGCAGGTAACGCATCGTTCTCCATAATTTGTACACGCTTATACGAGCCGTTCGTGTGCTTGAAGTACATTACAGCCGTCCAGTAGTTCGAAAAGTCCTCCGTGAATGTACATGTTGTGCAGGTACCTTGTTCGCCAAGATCACCGGACATGGTTGCATTGAAGGTATTTCCACCGACAATCTGGTGGACATGCGCGGAAGGAATACGTCCAGGCTCAACGAGAGGATCGAGGCGCTGGATGCTCAAAGTCGAACATCCAAATCGAAGCGCAGCCTGAGAAGGCGCAGCGAGCAGAGCGAGAGAATACCACTTCATCTTGGCAGGATCCGTTCTAGTGACAATGAAAGTGCGTAAAAGCGAGTAGTGGGCGTTCTCAACAATATATCAAATTCCGACCCCTTTCGTGAGTAGAATCACTCATACCTTGAATACTTGCCGCCGTACGGAGTGCATGGTGTTGAATGCTTTATCCATCGTTTATCCAAATGCGCACGTTGGCCAATAACATCCATGCACAGTCAAGATTAATATGAACCCATACCAATAACGTTCAACCCTTAAATTTTCCCCGCATTACCCCAATTAATCTGTAAATCTGGAGGGAAGTTTAGATGCGAGAAGGGGAAGCCTGCTAAGATCTTGCCACGCAGTGCCAGGGGTTGACATATGAAGCGAAAATTAATCGCCCTATCCCCTCTTAAGAAATTATAGCACTGGGAAAATCCAGGCGCTGTTGATTAGCAACAACGTTGACGGTAGATAAATGCCGAAACGCTTAAGTACCGAAGCTGGACGTGGAAATTTAAGAGTCAGAGCGAGAGAACCAAATATCCAATCATATAACTGCCGAACGGTTACTGGTCGAGCACTGGCAACGTTCATTGGGATTGGTTTAGTGCTGTATGAAGCTCTGTCGGGAATCAGGGAGCAGGACCTTCCCACGGAGTTTCTCCACCCGAGTACACTCTTTAAAGACTCCTTGAGATGGGATGAGTGAGTTGGCAGAGGTTCAAAGTTGTCCTTCTCTTCCGGCTCCTCCGAGAACTGCGTGCGTGAATCGGTCGGGAGAGCTGGGAGCGTTTGGCGCGATGACGGGTCGATCGACTAGTTGCCGCGACGGCGATGAGGTGGCGGTTGCGACAACGAGGTGGAAACTGGAGCATATCCCTGGGGAGCCCTGCAATACTGCTCATGGCCGCACCGTACACGAGCTAGACATCCCTTCGACCTTAGATGAAAAATACGAACCTCAGCCAAAAGCATTTGACCGTCGCATCAGCAGACTTCAGGCACAATCTACGAAGCGAGATATTGGATAGCCAGGCTCTCCGCTCTCAAGGACATGTCAATTCTGCATGGCAACACTCTAGATGTGCTGACGACCCTTTGCGGTGATGGATGATCATTTGGAATGCCACGAGGTTGTCGAAACGTTTCCCGGTATTCGGCTACGATTTCATCTAGCACCTCTTTCCGCACGTTCAGCCAGATTTTAGCGATTTAGAGATCCTATAGCCCTCTATGCTGCGTCATTTCACCTGGCGTGGAACATGACAGGTGGTAGTCCGGGGTAGAAATTTGAGCTCTCTTGGTCTTCCCCCTCCTCATAGACAGAGAATGGACAGATAGGTTCTTCCGTTGTCATGTTCTACGTTGTGTGTTAACATAACGTAATTGACAGCACGTTGGGTCTCAAAATGGGTGAAGGCACCCGGGGGAACACACTTCTGGCGGCTGATGGCAATTTAGCACGTATCGAAGGACGGTGGACGGTGTCAATTCCCAGTTCTATCGATGCTTCGGATGCTGTCTGGGCGCGAGGCTGGTCGACGCTGGAAACCGGCGGGAATTGCTGGTGCCATATTTGTATGCAATACAGTGGAGGGCACGAGAGGAAGATTAAAAGACCGTCGAGGAATAGCGCCAAGCTATCAGTGTACTTCTAGTTTAGCATTAGTGTCTCTAAGCCTTCTTGCTTTTCAACATCTCTCCCAGCCTTCAATACAAGACTCAGATCCTAATAGCGCTTTCTTTGGTATTACCTTGGTCACGACAGCTTGTCAAACAAGCTTACTCGTAGTTGCCCCAAACCTCGGATCTTCTCTTTCTCCACCTTGTCCGCACCCAATATGTTTCGAAAGAACGGGTCTGTTTCTCGAACCGTCTCCGCGTCACTCTCACACAGTCGACGCAAATTTGCCTGGGAAGTGGGATCGATGACGTTCTTGAAAACACTTCGCCGGATCTCATCGTACTTCTCGAGAATACTTTCGGACATGCCATCTTTGATCACTGCAATGAGTGCGTCACCCAATGCACCTGCATCGAGTAGTCCACCCGTAAGTCCCAACCTAAAATGTCTCACTTTAGTCCTGGTTGCTGGAGGTGTCTATTGGCAACTAACTTACCCTCCAAATGGGTTGCACAAATGAGCGGCGTCACCTGCGAGGAGTATCCGGCCGATGTGGAATGAGCTGGCACATTTCTGGTGTAATCGATATGGGGAGAACATCTTCAGGTCGTACTCTAGTGGCCTTGGACCCGGAAATATTGCCTCATATTTCATTGGTAACCTAGCTCGAAGTTCTTCGTCCGAAAGGCCTGTCTTCTCTCCGTACGACACCCTCCATAAGCCCGAAGTGTTCAACTTGGCGACAACGCAAAAATGATCTGGGTGTCTTGTCCTTGTCATCAACAAATGCAACAGAAAGAAGGGTCCGTATACATACACAATCTGATTCCCAGTCGAGTATCCGTATTTGTCGAAGGGGTATACTACATTGGTCGCTACTATCTGCTGCGGCCAAGTGAACCCATCAAAGGTAACCCCCGCGAGCTGGCGAACCACACTACGAGCACCGTCCGCCCCAACTACATACGAGGCACTCAACTTCTTTAGCCCATTCGGCGTTTCTGCTTCTACAATCACACCGTTCTCACCCTGGTCGATGGCAACAACATGATGCTGGAATAAAACCTTCGCCGCAGCGCAGTCCTGAAAATGCTTCAATATCACCTCTGCAAGTTCATGCTGTCCTAGTATCAGATTCTCATAAGGTTCCTCATTCGTGGGCACTCTTTCCATTTCAACAATCACCTCGCCGTTCAGTTTCCGGAAAGCGAGCTTCGTACTCGAAGTTCCAATCTTACGGCAGTCTTCTAATACGCCGGCGCGATCAAGCTCCTGCACTGCTACTGGGTGATAGACCGCTGCACGAGGGGACATTTCAATCTCAGGGAGAATCTCCAGAACCGTTGTTGGAATGCCAACTTTAGCGCATCGAAGACCCGTGAGGAGGCCAACAGGACCTGCGCCAACCTCCCATACGGTTATTTTTTGGTTGAGGAGGGAGGTTTAAAGGCTTACCACAATGACTGACTTTTCTAGCCCCATGATCTTATGTTTTAAGCATAAGATACGTGAGTGGCGCTGATGTGTAAGTCGATGAGTTGTCCTTGGTCCGAGAAAAACTGGATGAATTGTAATAAGCTGGTTGCTATTATCATCCCCAAATGGGGTAGACAAGCGTGGCAGGGTATGTTTGCCTGTTCCCCGCACCAAAGCTCCGGGCCCCGCATTGGTGAATTGCCCCACATACTAACTGTTGCTTAACTACGCTAAGGGTCAATTCCTCCACACATACCACAAACTATAGTCGTTCGATTTGTAGCCTCGGTATCATTGCTACTAAGAAGACAGAGATCAATGTACTGCCAGTCGCTTGATGCTCCACCGGAAAGTCACGGTATATTCCCAACTCGAAACCAATAAGCCGCCTCACGTAGATGGCCTCGCACAAAAATATACACGGATAGTGGGTCAGCCCCCTTCACGGAATTCCTGCCTATTCAGTCTAAGCCATCATGGCCGTCTCGATATTCCTCCAAATGTTCATGGAGCACATATATGTAGCTCTCGTCACATTATCCATCCTTTCGATTCTTCTCTACAAATTTAGAACTTATGACATACGGCGGAGAAGTCTCCCACCCAAGGTTCCAGCATGGCCCATCGTTAACCATACCTTGGCCCAAATGCAGGACGACATGCCACCAATTCTACGTGAATGGGGAAAGAAATACGGGGAACTTTTCAGGACAAAGGCCGGAACTACAGATTTCATTTGGCTAAACTCGAAGGAGGCGGTCAAAGAGCTGTTTGACCGTCGCTCTGCAGTGTATTCCAGTCGGCAGCCAATGCCGATGGCATTTGATTGCGCTACGTATGTTTCACCAAAACGCCTCGAAGTCGGTGAGTAGGGTGAAACTAACTCTTTTATGGCAGAGGAGGGAAACGAATCACATTCGCTCCTTATGGCAAAACCTGGAGAGACTCTCGAGCTGTGTTCCACAAAGTAAGCTACCCATTGTAGCAACTACAATAGCAAGCTGACCAGACATGATTCTAGGTTTTGACGCAGAAGATGGCACAAGACTACTCCGTGATTCAAATGTTTGAGGCGAAGCAGCTTAGCGTAGACCTCCTGGATAACCCAAAGGACTTCTACATGCACAACCGACGATATGCTGCCAGCGTTATAATGCAAGTAACATACGGGTGGCGCATCCCTAAGTGTAAAATGCCGAGATCTAGAAGGTTCACAAATATGTCGAGCTAACAAGTGCAGGGGACTGCCGAGAAATCTATCGTATTTTCGAGGTCCTGGGCCGCTTTGTGCAATGCAGAAAACCAGGTCAGTGGCTTGTTGATGTATTTCCTTCGCTTTCAAAGAGTAGAGTCTTCAATATGGTATCTAGCTGGAAACAAATAGGGTCACAATTTCATGCGCTAGATGACGCAACTTGGTTCGATTTCTGGAACGAGATGAAGCGAAAAGTCGCCGATGGGACCGCACCACATTGCTTCGGCAAGATACTGCAGGCAAATTATGAGAAACAGCGTCTCTCAGAAAGCCAGGCGGCTTGGATATGGTGAGTCCAGTCGATAACTTGTGCTGACCCCCTGTTTTCCCTCGGTCGGCGTCTAGAACTAATCTTCACAGCGGCGGCTTAATCGAGGCCGGCAGCGAAACAACATCCGCAACGCTAAACAACTGCCTCTACCTAATGCTTTCCAACCTAGACTGCATCCGTCTCGCCCACGAAGAACTCGATCGCGTCGTCGGACGGGATAGAACACCAACCTTCGACGACGAGCCAAATCTCCCGCTTATCAGAGGCATGATCAAGGAAACGCTTCGCATGCGGCCTATCAACAAATTCGGCAACAATCACTTCAACATCGAGGACGACTGGTATAATGGCTACTTCATCCCAAAAGGAACCATAGTAATGGCAAACTGGTGGTCTATTCACTATGATCCAAAGTACTACCCCCAGCCCGATAAATTCCTTCCAGAACGCTGGCTCGATTATCCCCACAGCGCAGCCAAATCAGCCGCACTACATGACGGCACCCAAAGAGACCATCTTACGTATGGTGGCGGACGAAGAATATGCGCGGGCATGCATCTTGCTGAGAAGAGCTTGTTCATCAATGTTGCGAGGATTTTGTGGGGGTTTGATGTCGGGCTTGCAAGGGATGAGAACGGGAGAAAGATTGAGCTGGACTTTTCGACGAAGAGTTTGCAGAAAGGGAGTTCGTCAGTCACGAAACCCTTTCCTTGCGAGATTAAGGCTAGGTCGGAGCATCATGAGTGGGTGATGAGGGAGGAGTGGAGGGCTGCCCAAGAGATGGGAATTGATTTTTCGCATATCAAGTGGACGGTTTAGGGTGAGATCGAATACCGGCGACGACATATCAGCGAAGCGGCGCTCACACGAACCAGGAGAAACGCGGCGGCTACAGATCTCCAAATGAGACTTGGGAATACTGAAATGCAGGTTTGGAGATCACGGGCCCAAGATATCCGAATTTCTCTCTAATTTCCAACTGACATCCAGGACCCGTGGCTCCGTGGACCTGAAAGGTAAAACAAGTTTGCGGGGTACATAGAAGTAGAAGCCCCACATGACCCATGCATTCACTTTTCCCCACGGCCTCGCTCCAGCCTCGCGCAATAGGCATGTAACAAATGTCGTGGTTTACGTAGAGTCAGCTAGCGCGTGTATGCGCGGTCGCCCTAATTGTAAGGAAGGTCGCTGATTTGACTTTCGGAATCCTTGAGGGGAATTTCAAGGCTGATAGGCAGTCTACAGGGTTTGAAGGAAATGCAGAAGAAGCCACGAAGCTTCGGTGGTCATTCTAATTGGCTAGAAAGACTAAACGCATTCCCCTACCTTTACGCCTGGGATTTTCGGGGTACCAGAACCTCCAAGATAGAGAGATACACTCTCCACGGTCGCAACGGCGGTGGAATGGTCAGCTTAAACCTCGTTCCATCCTTTGCTGCCATCGCCAATACGTCACTGCACGAACAGCACAAATGAATTGAGGGAGTAGCTAGGAGCTGAAAGGCTGGTCCATCCACGCCCGGACCAAAAGAGCTCAAAGTGAGTGGCCCGTCTACAACAACGGAACCTCCAAGTCAGGCAGGATGAAATGTACGGTTGAGATTGCTTGTGCATTTTCCATTACTGATCGTATCAATATTGGGAGGGTGGGACTTCCCAGGATTACATTACCAAGAAATTCGAGACGTCGTTCAAGGACTCAAGGCAGACTTCGCAATCATATCCACTGAGCAAGCAGAGGGAGCATGAAGGATCGCATACATACGAGCTTGAGCTCGAGAACGCCTAGGATTTTTGCGAACCTTGGGTTTTGCTCTCACATTCGCCCGGTAAGCTGATCCCGGCCGTCTGGGTCGTGATTACAATGCGGGGATCTGTCGTACCTGCGTTTAATCTGATCACATAGACTGCCCCTCCATGCTCCCAACCCAAACTTCGGCAACGAGGAAGAAAACGCCTGTAATAGCGAATAACCAAAACCTAATCTAACAATGTTAGAACTGCTCTCCAATAGTGAATGCCCATCAAATGCTGACCTTGGGAAGAAAGACTCTTTCATCGATGTTTATCTTTACCCACGGTAAGATCTTAGCTGATGCTCACAAAGCTTTCTCTCTCCACTATGCACTCCCAAATCTGACCGTCATATCGATAGCGTTCTGCAGCTTACATGCTCGAAGGATCATGTGGTGTAACATAAGCCTGTACAATACGATATGTGATTTGCTATGCAGAGGGTTAAAGGCCATGATTGGCTAGACTCAGGGGCAAAATACCGAATCCGTCGAACCATTCGTATTCATGTCCATGCTGTCACCTATCAACCTGCGACTTTGCAATCCAGGCGACTTACTTTTGGTGTGATGGGAACGGGGACGGGGACGGAGACGGAGACATTGAAGAAGAGTATAAAGTGCTTGACCAAGTTCCTTAAAATACTACTCACAGCACACCTCAATCTCTCAAGGGCCTACTTCCACTACACAAATCCATTCATAGTAGCAATACAGTCTATCCAATCTTAAAGCTCTTCAAAGCCACCGAAAACCCCACGATGCAAATCCCCATCCTCTTCCTCGCCCTCCTCGCCACCTTCACTACCGCACAAAACGCTTGCACTGGCGACAAATCCCAAGCAGGGTACTGCACCGCCCTAACCTACGTTGACCGCACCACCTCTGTGACCGGGCCCCCCACCGTCACCGAATGCCTCGACACATGTCGAGGTGTCCTCTCTGAAGCTGGAGACTGGCAGATCGACTTCCGTGGCCAGCCCGCATCCTACGTGCAAGTTATGATGGGATATCCGTGCGAGTTTGCGGTGTCAAGGCCCGCGAGTGAACCCCAGTATGTGACTGCAGTGCATAACCAAGATATCATTGATATTATCGATGAGGTTAATAAAAGGTTTGGGGGATTGCATGCCGGCAAGGTGGCGGCGACGGGGACGATGAATTGTGGCGGGCATATTGCGAATTGGTATGTGGATTAGATGGACAGTGTCAATGGGAAGAGAATTCCATCAGCCAAGCCTCTTGCTAGAATTTAGGAGGCTGTTGAAAGAGTATAGTGGCTAGGTTTTGTTGTTAAATCCGATATATTCCTCCCCATGCTCCTTCAAACTGCCTATATTCAGCCCACCTCTCTTCTTTTACCCACGAACGAATATATCAATTCTGTGACCAACACATCTCTCTTCATTCTCTATATAGACCGTTCGTTCTCCGAGGAGCTAAAAAGTTTTAACCGAAGGGATAAATTTCCTGGAACTATTTGGGCCAAAAAAACCCAACTGCAGCGTTCGATGGTGCTTCTCTCATCCTGGAGTGACAGAAATTTGCTCAAGAACCGTCAAGTCGATACCCCAGTCGCCAAGAACTAAAACAGGGACTCGCCATAAAAGATATTCCAGGAAGACCTAACCGCTATATTCTCTCCATACCATAATTATTCCTCTCAGAACCGAAAATTGGGCAGCGAAAAGAGAATGTTGCTAGATGGCTTTGGAGAGCAAAAAGCCGCCCTTCCTGCCGCCAATGTTGCTCCTCTTCGCTGAGCATAAACACGTTTCTCAAAACACCGGCATGGGCTTTAGCCCAGCGCCGAGATCAAGAATGCACATGGAAGAGTTCCATGAAAGACTCGGGAGACGACATTCATCTTCGCATGTCTGAAGTTTGAAATCTTACGATCGCCATTTTATGCGAAATTCACAAGATCGCGATTTTTGGCAGCTGGTCGCGAAGGAACTGGAAAAGGCCTAATGGGAAGACGTCGATCCAAGCTTGGACAAGGAAGGGCTGGTAATGATAGCCAGTGCTCCGGTATAATCGAAGTTTGGAGGAGTAATGGAAATGAAGACCGGTTAGGAAACCGCTGCCTGGCACCTACCATGCACTGTAGAATCAGAAACGGTCTCTTGTCATCTCGCATTGGGGTATATAAACTCCTTCCACCCAGCGCTGTCGATCTTTTCCCACCATCGGCGCCGCCTAAGCTGTGACTAAATTATACCTTCTCTAGCACGATGTTTCCGTAATTCTAGCTCTTTTGTCAAAACTCGCTGTCAAGAGCTTTATGGAGAGGAGAAATGGCTCGGAAAATCGACAATTTTACGTTCAAAAAAGGGATCAACGAGTGGTTCCATGGGCGGACGTCTCGAAATTTCTTCATTCTGAAGCCCTCAATCAAATGTCAAACATCAAGGGGAATCAGATCAAAACCGATGTGTCTCCCTTTTCCAATGAATGTTGCGTTGATATCATGTTGGCGCCAGGATTGGGTCGTAAAATAAGGAAAGAAGCGATGTGGACAAACTGAGAAGATACTTAGACTGCCCACACTGAAACATGTCGGAGTTTCTAGATATGAGATCTAGGGAAAGGACCAGTTCAAACACGCCGTGTTATAGACTATGCGGTTATTCGACAGAAAAGCGAAAGGTTAGACAACGAAAAGATGGGGGGAAAATGCGATGTGGACCAGACTTGAGCTATCAGTTCTAAAAAAGTCTAAATTATTTTTCAACAACCCATAGCCACATGCGTAGAGTAAGAGTAGACAGTGCCCGAAAGTAGTGGCACAGCTTGTAAGAAGAATTGAAGCAAGCAGAGGGTAGGGCGATGTTCAGAAGGAGGGGATGTAGAGACTCGAAGTTCGAAGCGGTGGTGATCAAGGAGTATTTGAATGCTGATCGTCATCAACAGCACTAGTGGCCAAACCCTCTTCATATTTGAACACGTATGCCCACAACTCCCCACGCTGGAAAGTAACGACCGCCTGAGTCCCTTTGACCATCGTCCCTCTCCAGAATACACAAGGACGACGTACAATGATATTTTTACCAGAGAAGTCTTCTTGTTCCAGTGCTCATGCATGCTCTGAACATCGATTTTAGAGACAGAAGAGGATGACATAGTGAAGAAAGCGAATGAAAGCGAAAGGGGGAGGGGTTAGTACATGAGTCTCGGAGACAGTTCGCGGGAGGTACATGTGAAAGAAGCCGGAGGCATTACTGCTCATGCATATGTGGCTGCTTTTGTATTGCACTTGGATATGGTGGAGAAATGCGGAGAGGAAGACGTGGACACTCTGAGAAAGGAAAGAGGGCCAGGAGGTCATTTTGGTGGAGAAATACATGGAAATAATTCGGAAGTAGCGAATGCGAATTTGAAGAAGGAGCTCCTACACTGAGGGGAGTGCTAAAAGCCGAACTCAACAAGTGAAACCCACACGGAAAAGGAGAAAAGACAAGTTGAAGATATAGAAGCTGATGTTGATATCAATATACAAGAAAATCCGAATCTACAACCATCCTAGATATATACACAAGCTCTTATCCATCGCCATTTAATGCACCATATTCCTCCCAATCTCACTCTCCCAACCCGCCGCTCTCTCAAACCCATTCGTGTACCCCTGGTAATCCATCATAGCCTGCATAACCTCATCCCTACTTGTCAGCACGAACGGTCCATACTGGAAAATCGGCTGATCGAGCGGCAATCCCGCGACAAGAATAAACCTCGATTCCGACTCCGCGCCCTCTTCGACAGCGGCTTCGATGCTATCGCCCTCCTTCTCGAAAACAACATTGTGGTATTGTTCAACAGGTCGAGACACCCTGTCGGAGGAGAAAATCGTAGTCCCAGATAGTGTATACGCGAACGCATTCCAGCCTTTGGGCAGCGCCTGCTTAACATGACCACCAGGCTTGACCGTGAAATCTAGCAGCCAAACAGGTGTATACGCCAATTCCTTCACCGAATCAGTGCCATATGACTGCCCGCTAATAACCTTGACCTTGACCTTCCCATCATCCGCAACTGCCTCTGGGATTTCCTTGGCGCGCAAATCGCGGTATCGTGGCTCGCAGGCCTTCAGGGCCTTGGGGAGATCGACCCAAAGCTGTATACCAACGTTTGGCGAACCATCGGCGTTCTGGCGCGGCATCTCGGCGTGCACGATGCCGCGGCCCGCTGTCATAAATTGCAGATCGCCCGTCTCGATTGTGCCTTTGTGGCCTGCGAAGTCTTCGTGGTCGACGGCGCCCGAGAGTAGGTATGTTATTGTTTCCTGGCCGCCTGGAAGTGAATTAACTTGCCATTCGCGTTACGTGTTTATGAATACGGGTGCTTACGGTGTGGATGGTCAGGAAACCCTGCGCCCGGGGGGATTGCAAAATGATCCAGCATCAGAAACGGTGAGAAATTCCTCAACTGCGGTGTCCCGATACTCCTTCTTACTCTCGCGCCCGCACCCTCGGATTGTTCGATAGCAAGAAAGCTCTTCTGTATCTTCCGCGGGGCCGTCGTGGTGAGGGGCTCGGAGGCTGGGATGACAGGAAGGCCATGGAAGGCCGTACTTGAAGTAGTGGTGCTTGACATAGCCCGTGTGTTGGTGTTGATGCTGTTTCGCAGGAAGTTGGAGATTGAAGTTGGTTTAATGTGGGTAGTAATCTGCTTGAAGCTCGAAAGCATAAACTCTTTGTTGTAGAAAGCGACTGCAGCGATGGCAAAAAGAATGGAGAAAAGGACTCGCATCGAGACGGGGGGGCGAGCTACTTATAATTGTCGTTGTCGCTCGGGTGTCGAGAATGTTCGGGGTGGAGCTGGAACGCGGAGACGTGTTTTAGTAGGGCAGGCATGACGACAGCTGGGTGGTGGAGTTGTGAATAAGGTCTTAGAAAGCGGCGTGGAATGGCGAGAGGCTTGTGGGCAGAAAGCGATTTGTAGATCATGACCAAGCAGGCACGTGGTGACCGGGCAGTCTTTCGGCAGTCGCTTTCGGATCGGATCGTGCCAAGCCCGGCAGTTTGTCAGTCATCGCAGCCAATCAGAGTGCTGGCCCTGGTTTCTTTGTCCCTCACGTGTTTCGAATTATCCTCGAGAAGAATACGAAGCTGTGTTCGAATATTTGCAGTGCTGTCAAAAGAAACCTGAAAGGCCTAGAACTCCCGAGAGGAAGATGGAGAAATTGCCATCATTACTACATGGCATTTAGTACTTGGTATCCAATACTTGTATATTGTAACCCAGGCCAAGCAGATGCCAAGCCACCTATCTACTCCTGTACCTCTCTTTGTATCAAGCCTGCCCCTAGAGGCTCCACATTAATACAACACTCTTCCGCCGCACCACCACCCAGGCTTACATATATAATACGCTTGGTGCGAAGCGGACCACGGCATGCTATCTCACAATGCGGAACATGACTACGGATCCGCATGCTGGTCCACTTCTCTGTTAACCTGCTTGCTCGAATCAGGGACATGGCCTATAGTATGCCAGTTTCTTCTTCACGTTCAATGTTAAGTGACAAGGTGCAGTACATGGTATTACAATACACTTGGTTGTGGACCGAACCTGAGAGCGCTAAATGTAGCTGCGGCAAAGACTGAGGGAGTGAAGCGAGAAACCATTCGGCACTCGTATACTAGAAAGCATGATCAGCTTTTCAACAAACCACCAATCCCATACATAACGCCATACTCCAGAAACGGATCCACCCGTACGCTCAAGTCATCATCTTCATCATCGCCTCCACCATTACCCCAATATGATGTTCCCCCTTGTACACCCCTTTTGGGTGCTTGTCCAAACCCATCAGTTCGTACACGGCCATCTGCGCACCTCTCACACTATACTCGACGGTAAAGACCGTATCCTCCGGAATCTCCACGAACTGGCCCAGCAGCGCAATATTAGTGCTACCCTCTGGAATAACCTGTGGACGGTCGCCGGGCTCGCGGGTCAGGAATTGAGATGTGATGTACGGCATCATGCAGGGTCTGCAGATAGCGTGCTCACGGATCTGCTCAGCCGGGAAATGAAAGTGTCCGAGGAGCTCAGTGAGGATCTCTTGGCCTGAGCATTCCGCCATCGGCTTCTTGACGAAGTTGCCTTCTTTGTCGGGGAAGAGACCATAGCCCCAGACGACATCTATTCCTATTGGTTGGTCGACAAAGTGCGGTTGGTGGGGCACGACGATCGACATGAGCCAGTTGCTGTCTTTGAAGGTCATCAGCGCTCCTGTCCCGGGTTCGTTGTGGCTGAAGCCTTCAATGCGGCGGAGGAATTCTGGGTCGCTGAGAGTGATGGTGAAGGACTCCCACTTCGACTCGTTGATACGAGTGCAGAATGTTGACGGCTTGCCAAATGCCTCCCCGCCTTTGCTGACGAGCTTGCCCCAGAGATCCCAGCATCCGTCCTGATGTTCTTCATCGACAATCGAGGGTGGCGGGGTATCGTTCGTGCCAACGCTCGAATCGGATGTCATGGATCCAAGGGTCACGATTACGATATCCTGGGGGTCCAATTGTGCTGTCATTGGTGTTCCGTCTGATACCATATGAAGCTCGTCCACTGTAGCTGGAATACCTTCGATGAAGTCAAAGTCCGTGACTTTGGTGTTGTAGCGGAAATCAACTCCTTGATCTTGCAGGTATTTGATAATGGGCCGAATGATCGAGTCGTATTGGTTATACGGTGTACGGTCGACGCCAGACAGGGTATTGATCCGTGGGAATTCGTGCAAGAAGCGATGAACATAACGACGGAACTCTACTGCACTGTGCCATGGCTGGAACGCGAACATTGTCGCCCACATATACCAAAACTTAGTCTTGAAGAATGCCTCTGGGAAGCACTCATCAATCCGCTTCTTGCCCAAGCTCTTCTCGCTCTCTAGAGTCAGCTTGATCAGATCCACACGCTCAATGTTTGTCAGGCCCATTTTTGAAGTGTCCACGACTTCGGCAGCCTTCTCGGCAGACGCAATCAGTCGCGCTTTTGAATGCGTCTGGTTCTCCTTCTTGGCATTGAAGTCTTTGATATCTTGCATGACGGTCTTGTCATTGCTCATCAGGGACGGAATCCGCTCAAGAAGGTCGTAGGTGCAGTGGTAGCTAAAATTCAACATCCTGCCACCTCGAAGAAGGTAGCCTTCTCTTGGATCGCCAGCTCCATCCATTGAGCCTCCCATGACAGGCAACGCCTCGAGAATGTGGATATTCTTCGCCGGAACGTTGGCATCTTGGATGAGGTGAACGGCGGCAGCGAGGGATCCAACCCCGCCGCCAACGAGATAGGCTTGGGTGTTCTCGGGGTCACGGCGGGGTAATTCGTTGCTGCCGTGGCTCTTGCGGAATGGAAGGTGAGGCATAGTTGTTGTAATTTTTGTTGCTTTGATATCGAAGTTTGCAAATTTGGGAATAGAAAACAAAAGAGTCTGACACTTACCATGTATCAAGTAGCCCTATATACTATACCAAGACTACCATCATATGATGCTGCACGCGCGTATGCAAGCCCGAACGAGGTCAGGCTATCACGTGTTGTCATGATCATATCATATCGCGAAGCCGTTCTTGTGAAACTAATGGTATCGTGAGCCGAAGTCGGATGATACTTAAACCCACCCAATCATTAGCAGTGTCGCCGCTGTAGATAATTCAGATGCCGCACGCGTTGCTGAAGGACCCCATAGGGTCAGGTTACCGACAAACTCAACGCGGAAGTCACCGGATGGGAATTCCATGGGCCTCGGGATATGCACATGTAATTGGCAATTCGATATAGTGACATCGTGAACCGACTGGTGGTCGGTGCAACTCCTTTCTCGAATTTGCAGGTGCGTTGACCGAGGAATGTCCAAACTAGTGGGCCGATCTGTTCACATGTGAGCATTTGCGGTGCCTGTCAATTGAACATTCTGAGACACAAGGAGATAAAATCGATGGGCTCTGTAGTTAACATAGATGCTGATACGATAGAGAATCGGTACAAGAAGCTCCAGCTGAGATCAAGACGTAAATCTACCAAAGATCTTGAACAGCGCTAATCTTGATACGGTTAGTCCATATCACTCTTGGCGCGAACTTTGGGTGTAAGCACATCGACACAAAGCTTCCTCCTCTAGGGTCCTTTTCAGTCTTAGCTGTTCATTAATCCTCGAACTGGGCACCGTGGTCCATTTTGGTGCAGTTGTCATATATTATAGCCAGACTAAGCCACCATCTATTAGTGCCTGTACCTCTCTAGCTACCATCGCTACCCTAGAGGCTCCAGATCAATACAACACTCTTCCGTTGTACCACCACCTAGGCTTACAAAAACTATCGCTGTTAATGATCCTTGACATATACTAAGTGCTACTAACGCTAAAACCCAATGATTTCCTGGGCCATCCAAGCCCATAGTTGACGCAAATTGACAAATAAGATGGCACCGTTTGGTCCTGTATTTACGCCGAATACTTTTCAGGTTATACTCTCGACACACGAGACTTTTATGTTCTAAGGGTCAGAGTGTGTAAACTTCAAAGCAGGCAATGAACTATTTCATTCATGCTCAAACATACGCACATGTGCTGGATCATTCGCTTCCTTCCTTCCATTCTAGTAATGCTAGCTGGATCCTTGTGCTCTACATGAAAGAGGCTTAATACCATTCCAATTCAACGCGGTCAACTAAGAGGAATGGACAAAGGATCTAAGGCTGACTCACTGCTCAGTCAACCCTACCATCGAACTTGGCGGGCAGCGAAAAATAAGACCCGTAGCCGTTAATATAGAAGATGGGAAGTAATTCACGACCCACCTCGCGTTTAATAATCTGTAGTTCGGAAAATACTCATATGGAGCGGATAGGGTTGGAGAAATTCGAAGAGAGGGGACTAAAATTGAGGACGCAGCCGTGATGGACTGAATGAATGAAATTCTATAGATTATAGTAGTGATAAAGACTAGAATGGAGCTGAGCAAGGAACCACACGGCGTGAACTTAATCCAGGATTCGTAAACTCAGCATGTAGTTAGGTACCCTATTTTTCTATAGATTTCACCTCCACTTGGACCTTATGTTTACACCGACTTCCCCGATATCATTGGCTAGCGCGATATCTTGCATTAAAAGATGAGCAGAGGCAGCCTCAACCCTTCCCGCTAATCTCCCTAACAATTACCGGAAGGCTCATTTGTAAGTTTGATCCTTTTACGCGACTAACAGTATACTCCGTGGCGTTCGGAACATGGCAGCATGTATTTAGTAAACCAGCACTCTCCCCCGTCAGGCACCCCCATTCTAGTACAAATGTACGTATTGAAAGGTTTGGTGATACTGCGGTGTAATTTTGCCCTTAGAGGTCCGGAATATGGAATCGGTTAAGCTGCTACAATGTTGGAGATGATGAAGACGTTGACCTGAGTCTAAATTAAGTTAATATTTGTCGGTTGGCTCACTCCTCTAGATGGCTACCCATCTGGTAGTGGGTCCCTTCTCTGCGTGGCTACGCACGCGGTAGGTGGATAGGCAGCTGTACGCTAAGCGTACAGCCTATAACAGGGTGAGTAAGCAAAGATCTTAACTACTGCCCTCTCTCTTTATACAAAGAAAGAGGGTTGTTAAGTACATTTAGCCCCTAACGCACAGGCTAGATAGCCAACGTTTCAGGCAACTTAATTCAGCCGTACGCGTGTACGGACGCAGCCGTACTTACGTACGGACAATATTAGATATTTTAGAATCTAAATGGCAACACCCCTCGAGCCATATAGGTTTGACCATGGGCAATTGAAGCTATATCTAATGTGTGAAGCTATGGGGAGCACCAAAGATATGAGGAACTGGGTTGGTTGATAAAGGAGGGTGCCTAAGGGTCTATATATTCAAGGAGTGAACTAGACAGCAGGGTAGGCAGCAGTAGCTCCTGAAGGCGAGTAGGTGGTGGATATCGGAGAGCTACGTTACTGCAAACACAATGAGATAATTGTATAGGGCTTAAAATGTCGACCATACTTCATGGATTGGCCCTAGAGGATCTCTTTGTTGTTTTCTAAGGTTAGATACACTACAGGTAGTCTAAATAGTAAACCTATGCACTTAGATTCACCGTGGATCCTGCTGTTATAACCCTTATACTATATACTTCAATAGCAGGTAAAGAGTTTATAGGTATTCATAGCGTCGAAAATTTGCAAAGACTAGCCCATGGGCGCCTATGGTAATTACCTACACCACCTTCACCCCCATTTCCAACCCAACCACAATCCCCTTCCTATTTCCCTTCTCCCCATCCTCGTCCTTAAATTTCTCTGCCCTCCCATAGATATCTGCATAACTCCCAATGCGGTCTGCTCGACTGTAATCGGCATATTCTTCTCCCCCTCATACAATTCGGCAAATACCTAATCACACAATCCGGATTCTTAGAAAGGACACCGGGGTGCGATACCTCAGAATTGAAATATATCTCTATTCCCTCAGCGCTACATTAAGTTCCCCAGATTAACCACGAAACACGCCGGGGTTGGTTACACATCTAGCCATTCCTTAGTCGCCTAGTCGTAGACTTGTGGCCCTGTGACTTTGTCGTATAGTAGGGATGTGACTATCCCAAAATCAGCATGCGCACTTATCCCACTCGTTACCTTCTGCGGACTATGCGACGCCCGCGGAAAATAATGTAACAGCCGCATTTTAGCCATTGCCCGTCCACAAACTTGTCGAACCACCCCTCTTATTGATCCAGCGACTGCGCGAGGACTTTTAGGATATTCTTCGTAAGCGGGACAACGTGGTTGTAGTATTTCAGCGGTGGTCCTGAAGTCATCAATATCAGATAGGGAGGTCGGATTCGGCCCGATATTAGGCCCGAAGTTGGGTTTTTGGCATAGTTTGGGTGCGAGGTCGGAATCACATTTCCGAGGTAGAAGCCTTCTTGAGTTCACGGTGGGAGCCAGCTTCGAGTAATTGAGAGCACAGGAGCTCGAAGCCGCGGTTCCAGGTGTTGGTTGTGTCTGGCGGAAGAACATGTTAGACTGGGGACTACCTTTGGAAGAGATGATCATGGCAGAATTGGGCAGGGGACATGAGAGGGGGTATGACATACCTTTCCTAACCCTCATCTTGTCTTTTATCATGATGTGCTCTGACAGCTCTACCAGCGACTCTTGGTGATCTAGAAGAAGCCACTGTGCAAGCAGCAGTCGCGCACATTGTTCACCATCTTCTTCGCTTCGTTGCCATAGCAGACTATAGCGCGTCAATTCCCAGCAAGTCGCCTATCTTTGGGGATTATGTCGCGAGGTAGGAGCGACCAGAGACGTCGAAGAGCAGCGAAGCTCATCTCACACTTGGCATCGTTAATCCTGGCGACGCTCGATAGATGACTAAGCAAACTCGAACCTTGGAATAATTAGAGAGACCCCGGTGGTGAATTGGAATAAACAGGAAAAGGTTGTGCCCAGGCCCCGACGGGTTGACTAATCAACTTTTGGCAAGCGAAAAGGCCTGCGCGGAGCGCAGGGCTGCATGCTCAACGATCATACCTAGCTCAACGATTATTATAGTATATTATATAAAATAGATTCAAAAGCGCATGTTTCAGTTGCTTAAATTAATGTTGTAGTTGCTTCTAAAGCCCCTGTAGTCTAAATCCTCTGTTAGAGGGCTTACTAAGATAAATTTTTTTTTTTAAAGAAGTTATTTACAAAGCTGTTAACTAACCTATTTACGCTAGATTCTCTCTTTACGCTCCTTAGCTATCTCTGCATATATTAAGACCTAATAATCTTATTAGTAATAGGTTATATCTATACAAGGTAGGGGCTTATTGTTATTATAGTGTTTTTATAAGGCTTTATGTAAAGATGAGATAGTAGATAGCTGTTACAATCCTTGCTTCCTAGAAGCACTCGGGTCTTATGATATTCCTACGGGGGAAGTAGGGCGGATGGTAGGGGCCAACCGGTAGGGTGTACAGTCCTACGTACAGGCTAATAGGCTATTAGAGGGGAGTAGAGTAACTAGGTTGTAGTTTGCCCTATGTGTAGCAGTAGAAAGGCTAGAGTTAAACAGTCTTATTAGACAAGGTTAGAGGTATATATAGTGTAAAATATATAAATAGTATTACAGCTTTTTAAAAAGCTAAATGCTACTTAGTTTATGTAAAAAATAAACTAAACATTAAACACACCTTCTAAAGGTTATTTAACAAGGGAACTATATACATATAAAAGAGGGCGCTAAGGCAAGTTTAGATAAGTTTAAGTAAGCTTTATAAATTAGCCTTACTACTAACTTATTTTAGCTTATCTAAACTTACTAAGCTCTTTTAGGCCTTACATTCTATCTTTTTACTAGATAACGCATTCTTTTATTACTGTAAGCAGCTGTGCTGCCTCTGTAACCTTTAATTAGTCTATAAGCAAGCCCTGTTCTAACCTAGCTAGACTGTGGAGCACTGCTAGTAGAGTTACGCTAGTCTAGCTATAAACTGTAACACGCTGCCCCTTCTCTCTAGCAGCGTCCTTACTGCTCTGCTTACACAACTGTGTTAGTAAGAGTTTGTTTATAAGGTAAGCGCCTGCCTACTAAAAGGTATCTCTAACATTTATCTTTTTTAAACTAAATAGCTTACTAGTTCTATTTATCTTATTATCTTTATATTACTTTTTATTTTAATTCTTTTTACTAGATAAAGATAAGGCCTTATAGCACTTACTAATTATTAAAGTTGTCTTATGTGTTAACTTTATTCTTAGATAAATGCGTTAAGTGTGTAAAAAAAAATAATAAGTATAATGTCTTTATGTCTAACACTGCCTAAAAGTGTTTAAAGAGAGAAAGAGAAAAGCTTCTTTATTCTACTAAAGCTTTCTAGGCCTAGGACCTTATGCTATCTATCTATAACTAAAAGTAGTGAGAAGAGTTATCTTATTAAATTTAGAAGCAGCTTTACTTGCAAAAGAAGATAATAGTAAAGAAAAATAAAAAGTGTTTTAAATAAAATTATATCTAAAAATTACTAGATCTATTAAAAGCTTAGTGTGTAAAGTACCTAGAAAAGGACTTTTTTTTCTTAGATAAAATAAAAGCTTTTAAGGCTAAAGTAGAGAGCTATTTTTTTTATAGCTTTTATCTACTAAAACTTATCTCTAAAGGCTGCTACTATCTAGTAATAATATAGCTGTTTTTTTTAATATAGGTGCTTTATTACCTAGCTAGTTTCTTTTAGATAAGCTTAAAAGTACTTTTATACTAACAGCTGCACATTCTATAAATTCTTAGCTAGTTTTTATATATTTTTACTAGTAAGCTACTTTTTTTACTTTACTAAAAATTCTTTTTAATTTTTTTAGTTACTGATAATGTGCTTAACTTTATATTTTATTTTCTAGTCTTTTTATTTCTATGTAAATAAGAGAATCTCTTTAAGTGCTTTTTCTAATCTAGAGATATAAAACTATAGGTGTATTTTTATGTGTAAGAGAAGCTTAAGTTTGTAATTATCTTATTAAGTTTAAAAAACTTTATATAGTTTTATTCTTTTTTTTACTAGCTTTCTAGAAGGTCTAGGTGTCTTAAGGTTTTTAGTATTAAAGTATACATAGTTTTCTAGACAAACCTTTAGTCCTAGTTATTATAATTTATTTATGTATTTTTTAATTATTTCTCTACTAGTCTAAGCTTTTATTACTAACTTTATATATATATATTATAGATTTACTAGCTAGTTTATTAATTTCTATAAGTTTATAAGTTAGTTTTCTTATAGCATAAAGTAAAAGTTATATCTAAAATTAGCTTTATATAGTGTCTTTTTTATTATAGCTAACTCTACATTATTAATAGCTAGCTGTGCTATTAAGAGCTATTTTACTTAGTTATACTAAGTGTAAAAAATATACTTTTTTAAGTATCTTTTTACTTCTGCATTTGCTCTTTTAGTCTAGCTATTTGTTTGCAGGTAGTAGGCTGTTAACAGCTTATATGTTATACCTAGGTGCCTTATTGCTGCTTTTTAGAATCTGCTAGTAAACAGCTTATCTTAGTTAGAAATAATAATTTTAAGGCATTTATATACTAATATTATATTTTATTTTAATTTATAAATAAATTTTTTAGCTATTATTATTTTTTTTAAGGGCTAAATGTGCAGATATTTAGTAGTTTTATTAAGTGCTACTATAATTATGTTACACATTTTTTTTATTCCTAGTTTTTTAGATAAAGGTAATCTTATAATAAAGTCTATTATAATTATTGTTTATAGTAGCTTTAGTGCCTTAATTAAGTAAAAGTATCTATAGGTTTTATGTCTTTATAAATTATTTTTATTACAGGTATTACATTCCTTAAGCACCTTAGTGCATAATTACTTTACTTTAGGTATTTATTAAAGTATAATAGTCCTTAGTTTCTTTTAAAAAGTGCCTATTCTAGGGTGCCTAAACATTAAGGATTTGTAATATTTTTAGATTAAATTTTTTTATTCTTACTTATTTACTATAAGCATGTAGAGTTTTTTTATAGGTTAGAGCCTATTATAGATCTATCCTTTATTAGTTTTTTTAAAAAAAGTAAATTCCTTAATTTTTTTTTTATTAAAGTAGTCTAGTCTTTAGCTAAGGGTGTTAGCCTACTAGTTTTATGCTTTTAAAACATGCTTAATAATGTAATTAAACTATATAAGTTCTATTACTTATTTTACATATATTAGTAATAGTTTTTTTATAGTTAAAAATGTAACTAAATTTACATAGTCTATTATAATATAGAAAGGTTTTGCTATTCTATGTAGCTTTATAGCCTATACTCTTACTATGTTTAGTATAGCCTTAAGTTCTTTATTAAGTATGCTGTAGCCTGCTTTAGGTCCTAAAAACTTAGCAGAATAGTACACTACTAGGTGCTATTTTCTGTCTTCTTGTTTCTAGTAAAGCGTGGCTCTACTAGCTTCTAAGGATGCGTCTGTGTGGATCTTTATATCTAGCTGTGGGTTGTACATCCTTAGTACTAGTCTAGCTATTATAGCTTATTTTAGTGCTATAAATGCTTTATTTATTTATAAAGTCTAGATAAATTTTGTTATTACTTATTCCTTAGTAGTAGTGTTTATTAATAGTATAGTAATTTTTAAGTAGTTTTTAATTATTTGTCTAATATAACCTAATAGTTTAAAGAATCTTTTAACTTTCTTAACTATTATAAGTTTTAGCTACTTAAGTACTTTTTATATTTTAGCTAGGTTAATTTTTATTTTCTCTTTATTAATTATAAATCCTAAGTATTTTGTCTTAGTAATGTAGAATTTGTATTTAAAGAGCTACAGGTAGAGTCTATACTTTCTAAGCTGTTCTAAGACTTTTTATACCTTCTATACATAGTCTTCTAGGGTGTCTTTTAAGTAGATAAGGACGTTGTCTAGGTATACTAGAGTAAAGACATTAAGATATAGATTAAGAGCTGTATTAATAATTTACTAAAATGTTGCTAAGGCATTTATTAAGCTAAACAGCATTACTAGTAGCTTATAAAGTCTTTATAAAGTTCTAAACACTATAAGCTACTTATTCTTTTCTTTTCTTTTTATTTTATTAAATCTGTCTTGTATGTTAAACTTTATAAAGTACTAGGTTCTTTTTAGTTAGTTTATAATATCTTATATAATTAGTAAGAAGAATTAGTTTTAAATTATGTTATTATTTAAGGTTTTATAGTCTTAATAGACTTAGATCTTTTCTTTTTTTTTTAGTAAAGACTATAGCTAAAGATATAGAGCTGTAGCTTTTTTAAATGTGGCCTTATACTAGCATTTTATTAATGTATTTCTACAAGGCTTTTTTCTGTGTTTTTATTAAAGGGCAAAGCTTATAAGTTTTTAGGTTATAATCTTTTATTAAGTTAATAGTGTAGTTCTAAGGCTAGTGTAGAAGTAGTTCTTCTAGATCTTCTAGTGTCTTAAATATGTCCTTATAATCTCTATATTTAATAGAAATGCTGCCCTTATCTTAGATTTAGAAGATGCTAA